CCAATTTTGCTGATATTAATGCATTTTCGTTTCTATCAGCAATCAAACCAGAAAACATACCAGATGCAAAATTAATTTTACATGTCCGATCGGAAATCTCTTCGTGAAAAAGTACCTCCAAGTTGAAATAGTATTTGACTGCTTCGAATTCTTTCGTTATAAGAGATATTAAATCTATCGTAGGTTGATTAATTAAATCAAAGAATGATGATAAATCACATTGATGATTGTTGATTAGTCGATAAATCAAGTAGTATTTTGCAAACGCTTTCGCCATAAGTTTAAAACCACAGTATTCATCAGGAACATTAGCTGGATTAGATAGACACATTTTCTTTCCACAAAAAGCTTCATGACGATCTGCACAACTTTTCAAAACATAATTTTTACCGCAAATACCACAGCTATAGTCTTTTTTTCTCTTTATAGGGACGACTTGTACAGCAGAAGAATGACCTTGATCTTCGAGTTGTCCAGTTGAAGAGCTACCTTGATCTTCGAGTTGTCCAGTTGAAGAGCTACCTTGATCTTCGAGTTGTCCAGTTGAAGAGCTACCTTGATCTTCGAGTTGTCCAGTTGAAGAGCTACCTTGATCTTCGAGTTGTCTAGTTGAAGAATTCCCATTACCCCATTGATCAGCTGTTCTATTCAGTGAATTACCTCGATCGTTGATTGATGGCAAACGATCTACCTGAGCATATTGAATAACTGATACTCGTGAATTTAAAGGTGAAACTGATAAATCCAGCGGAGATGATGCCAATGTTAAATCCAAAGGAGCTTCTTCTTCATCTGATGATAGTTCAATAACTTCATCTTCATCAGAAGAAAGCTCAATTATCCCTATATCAGCTTGACGAGGGATTTGTTGTGGAGGGTTAGGAAACAAATTTATTTGCTCCTGATCCCTCGACCTTAAGAATAAACATCTTTGACCACGATTACAATTCGATGAGGTTAGACAAATATCACGGCAATCAGGAGTTATTGCAGGATCAGTACGAGATCGTTTTGGGGGCGGCAAATCAAAAACATCCATCCTTGTACAACTTTCATCAGTGCAGTTTACCGTACAAATATGACACAAATATGTTGCTAAAGATGATGATATATATTTGCAACACGGACATTCGAATATCTTAAATGTGAGAAAAAATCGTTAGTTAATGTTCAAAAATCGTTAGTTAATGTTCAAAAATCGTTAGTTAATACTATTAAAAAAATAAATTAAGAATCACCAAAAGTAATCAATTGCATAAAAAAGTATTATTGAAATAATTAAGTTGAATGAGTACAGTAATTGAATTTCAAGAAATTGGGTTCAACTATATTTCAATCCTCCTAATTTATCAAAATTCTTCCAAATTCTTTTTGCATTATCTGCTTTCGCTCTAACTTTGAGGTATTGCTCAAAATAGGGACCTTTACCGTATTCTTTGTTTTCCATTGAGCGTTGCAACCACCATCGATACTTATTAATAAAATGAACCCATCTGTTCCTCCATTTACGTCCACTACGAATATAAAACAGTAATTTATCTGGATGATCGTCAGGTAATTCGTTTAGATTTGCCAATCTTTCTTTTCTCCTCCTTTTAGCTGCCTGGTTTCTTCTCTGTCTTCCAGTTAATACTTTATCAATTTCCATTGCCTGAGCAAATGGTGGAAGCGGCAGGTCCATTGGTTCTGCAAGATCAAATGGTTTACTTCTAGGATCTAGACAAGCAAATGACGGCATTGGGAGATCCATAGGCTCATCTATTCTGGGTGTTGGAAATGATCTAGGATCAAGCAAATCCTCATCAGCTTCCATTGGAATTTCTTTGGTGGCCTAAAGAAATGAAAAGAAAAAACAAGAGATTCTTTTGGTGATTCTTTCGAGCTTAAATGATTAAGAAAAATACTTACATCAGAAGACATTATGAAAATCAGGTTTGTTAATATCTCCTATCAGGAAGGTTAAAATCCACTTAGGATTAATACAAGAGTAGTATTGGAAGTGAACAGTTCGCTAAACGTTTGATGACCTTATCGATCCAACTCAAAGTTTTGGAATGTATTGACTTGAATAGAGATCAATAAGTATATTTATACTGAGAACGAGAGGTGAAGATTTTGACTCGAAAATTAAATTGTTTCTGTGAACTTCATGGTTTAGATATTGATCATGAAAGTTAGATACACGCTGTTGTGGTAGTTTTCAGCATGATATTTACTGAATAAATCATTAAAATTCATTATAGAATAGAAAGTAAAGAAAGACTAAAAAGTGGCGCCATCTATTGATTTTTTCTCCGTCTAAGCTTGCGAGACCAAATTTACAGTTCGTTAACAATGCAATTCGTTTTTTCAATTTTTTCATGAATGCTGAGGTTTTTTAATAAATATTAATGCTAATTATTGATCATTGAGCGTGATTTTACGTAAATTCATTGTAGATTAAAGATAAAATGGAATTCTGAAGTTAATCAGTAAAAAACTCAAAAGTGCTGCCATCTAGCGGTTATCGCATGAAAATTTCCCAGCCGCGAATACGCATACTTTATGACAATAAAGAGTGACTAATTGATTCTGAAATCATATAATTATAACTCAAAAGTAGTTAGGCAAGGTCAAACAATGTCGAATAGGAGTTAGACAAGGTTAAACAATGTCAAATAGGAGTTAGACAAGGTCAAACAATGTCAAATAGGAGTTAGACAAGGTCAAACAATGTCAAATAGGAGTTAGACAAGGTCAAACAATGTCGAATAGGAGTTAGACAAGGTCAAACAATGTCAAAACTGAGTTAGACAAGGTCAAACAATGTCAAAACTGAGTTAGACAAGGTCAAACAATGTCAAAACTGAGTTAGACAAGGTCAAACAATGTCAAAACTGAGTTAGACAAGGTCAAACAATGTCAAAACTGAGTTAGACAAGGTCAAACAATGTCAAATAGGAGTTAGACAAGGTTAAACAATGTCAAATAGGAGTTAGACAAGGTTAAACAATGTCAAATAGGAGTTAGACAAGGTCAAACAATGTCAAAACTGAGTTAGACAAGGTCAAACAATGTCGAATAGGAGTTAGACAAAGTTAAACAATGTCAAATAGGAGTTAGACAAGGTCAAACAATGTCAAATAGGAGTTAGACAAGGTCAAACAATGTCAAATAGGAGTTAGACAAGGTCAAACAATGTCAAATAGGAGTTAGACAAGGTTAAACAATGTCAAATAGGAGTTAGACAAGGTCAAACAATGTCAAATAGGAGTTAGACAAGGTCAAATATGCATGAAAGTCATTTAATTGTAAATATTATTTGTTAATTTTAATTAAAACCATTCAAATTTGGCTCAATTTAATGTTTAGTTAACTTTTAATTATTACGCAATAGATGGCAGCATTAAATGTCAATTTCAGCGGTTAACAACTGTCACTTTGGTTGATTATGCAGCATCATTGTCATAAACAACATCAAGTTTACTGTTAATTTTAATTCTTATTGTGCTATTTAATACTGTGCCTTAAAATGAATCCCTCACCATCCTCATCAACTGCATCAGCGTCTCCATCATCTGATCAAGAAAACCCAATTGACAAGTTTTATCAAAGAATGCTTCAACCTGGACCACTAGGAGGTAAAGTCAAAGAGCTATTCCAGCTAATGGAAACATATGCAGAATTGGACGAGAGTGCCCAGGATAAGGTTAAATGCGTGGTAAAAGCTGTTTTGTACAACATGTTAAAAAATGGTGTTGATCAGAATGGTTTTCATGCAGTAAAGAAATTACGCAAAGAAATAAAAGAGCTTGATAGGCAAGTAAACGCGGAAGCAAAAGCTGTTGAAAAGCTTTTTGCTGAGAATAAAAAGCTAAAAGAAATGCTTAAAATAATGGATAATGAAGATTTATCCTTTGCAGAATATGCTTTAAAAGAATTGCAAAGACTCACGAAAGTTCCTCAGGACCTGCTAGAGGAAAGAAGCAGAGGACTTTAATTTCATTAAATATGTTAAATAAATTCAAAAATTAAATTTTCTTACTTAAAAATCATTAATTAATTGAAAAAATAAAGGTTTAATTTGATAAAAAAAATTTTCCCACGGTTGCTTTCCCGCGAAAAAAATTTCCCGCGCAAAAAATTTCCCACGGTCCCTTACCCTTGATCAATCAATTAAAAGAAATTTGGTCCAAAGTGGACAAGTCCAAAGTGGACAAGTTGGTCCAGAGTGGACAAGTCTGTCCAGAGTGGACAAGTCGGTCCAGAAAAGGACATTTATTAACTACTTCCGTAAAACAGTTTGTTTTCAGTGGGTTAACATCCAAGGTTTAAGTTGAAAGGTAAAAGTGTTACTTCAGATGATTGATGAATTACATGATGATTATGGTGATCATCAGATGATTTGAGTCAATGAAAATGATTTCATACAGGGCATCAAAAGTTAAACAGGGTAAATATTGAACACATGGAACAGGATTCATGGTTTTAGGATCAAATGTTTTCCGCTTCAATTGTCTTTATCACACTTTTGTTGTCATATTTTCGTTGACCCTTTGGATTGACCTTTCTCCTGTGGATTTTTCATTATCCCCTTATCATCATCACCATTATTTAAACTCTTTCCAATATCTTGTTTATTGAAGAGATCATCTCTAATATCAACATCTTAATCAATTAACTAATTCTTTATTCCAATCACTGTTTACTTGTGTCATTGAATATTGTATTTTTGTTACCACCATTTATTACCATCACTACATTTACTGTACAAAACCTAAATTATATTGTTAATCATAATCATAATAGTGATAATAACATTAATAATGAATGTTACTGCTTTTGCTTCCAGATTTCACTCCCAATAGTTTATCCTGTTTCTGCCTCACTTTTTTTTATTAACATCACTTGTTAATATAATAATAGTGTGGCTGTTGATATCATGTAGTGAATCCCTTTGAATCAACCTGATATTTTGTCAATATTTGTTGATTAACCGGTTAAATGGTGATGATGATAAATCTAATGGTTATAATGAATCATAACAATTTCTTGGGGATGATGATAGTTTTATAATATGATCAGATGGCAACCAACACCACATAAGCCTAGAAATGAAAGGAGGGAAAAAGAAATGAATTAATATTTTCATATTTTTAATGTTGATATCTGATCATCACTCACCTTTTATAGTAAACCAATTGTACATCAGATTTCAAGTTTAAATCCTTGATGAACCAAATGAAACAGTAAATTAAATTATCAGAATCATCATTGGAGGTTTGAGGTGACAAGACGCTATAGTTTGCTTGAATTTACTAGCTGAGAGGAGTAGAAAACAAAATTGTCGTTAATTGCAACACTTTACTTTTAATTAATTGAACATTGAAACATTTGAAAGTTACTTACATTGAGTTGAATCGCATTTACATTGATTAACTTATTTAACTGTCCTCAACAGTGGAGTAACATTAATCAAACATGTGTTGGAAACATTTTAGCTTGTAACTGCGGCTTGTAACTTTAGGCCTACACAGTTGAAAAGAGTTGGCAATGAATTTTAAATTAATATTGATTTTTAATTCACACAACAAATAATTTTAAGGTTAAACAATTAATTTCGGTTAACATAATAATAACAAATCTTGATTATTACATTAAAAATGTTATTATTTTTCCTTACACCTTATTTAACTTTTATGTGAGGCTGCATGAAAGCCAAAAACAATAATTTATGGCTTGTAACAGGCTTAAGCATCACTGGCTAGAAGGGAGAGAGCCACATATGGCTGGAATCTTAGTTGACCATTTTTACTCTTATAAATCAAAGTTAAATTAATTAATCTAGTTATTTGAGACAATAATTTATGTCATCAATTAATGTCTACTTTTATTAATAAATATATACAACATCAAGAATCTGGTTAATCATCCAGGATACTCCAACAGTTCAATTAAATCCGCAAAAATAAATCCAACTCTAAACCTTTCACCGCTATGTCAATCTCCATTTGTATGTGCTTTCACCTCCTCACGGTTGTTTGATTTAAACCAGATGATAGATTATTATGTTTGAATTTTAAATTGTTTCAAGTTGATAATTATCCAGTGAATTTACCTGTTATTATGTATCAACTTTTGGATAACTTTTTATCATTCTTTAAGTGTTTACCCTTTCAAAATCTATAAAGTTGATATTTGTGTTTGATCGTTATTAACAGTTTACTTACCAAGTTTTGGATACTTTATCAAAACTGGTAAATTGTTTTTCTTTTTATACTTCACATATCAAATAATGATCAAGGTTTAAGGTTAATTAATTTATGCTTAAATGTTTACTTAAACGGTTGATCAACATGAGCTGTAAAAGTGTATGGTTTAGGCTCAGGCCTAAGGCTGTTGTTGAACACAATGAGATTATAACTCATATAGTGAAGCAAGTGGAAAAAACAGTAAAATTAGAAAGAGGAAATTGAATTTCTCTATTGAAGGTAAAGTTGATTTTATAATCATCATGATTGTGTTTGCAATATGAATAGATAATTTGCAAGTTTCAACAACATTTGCAGGCTAAAAAAGATAGATTGGAGCAACATCTCGTTGCTTCCATTTTTTGCATTTTTTGTTCAATTCTTTCCCACCTTATTCAGGAACTTTTTTTCCACTTTCTTTACCATTTATTGAATGATAATTACCCTTGGAGTTTTTATCATCTTTTCACCTATTTCACTATTTAAATAATTTCCTTTTCCTTTACAGAATGGAATGGGAAGTTTATCAATAGATTCTCAAAGTATTCAACTTAATGGTCAAGCCTATTTCCTTGAAGAAGTTTTTTCACCTGAAATTTCATCCCCTAAGGTAAGTAAATTATCATTAAATTTTGATAATTCATTTAGCCTCACAATTGCAACCAAGTGTTAGGCATTATAAATTTTCTCTAACATTAAGTTGACATTTTTTTCTCTCCTTCTCTTACCATGTTGGACTTTTTTCTTCCTCATCCAATTGTGCTCGTCAGGGTAAACGGATTCGAATCCATTCTAAATCTAGAACTGAATTAGGATTGAAGAATGGCCAAGGAAACGTTGTTAACAAATTACATTTAACTAGATCAAGTGTTGTCGCTGTTACGGACCAATTAACAATCAAAAATCATTTGGGAAAAACACTCCTTTCATTAGATGACTCTGAACTTAAATTAAGTCCAACCAGACTTAAGATCACAGGTAACACACCATTTTCACCTGTATCAAAACATAAATAAGTTATAAATGATGAGATAACTAACTCTTTAACCATTCTCATCATCATCATCCTCTTTCTAGGGTTAAACTTAATTTCCGTTATTTTGCTCTTATATCTTATTTAATTCCCCTTCTCATTAATTCATTCTTATCATCTTAAACAATCCAGGCTCCAAACCGGTTGAGCTACAGGGTTCAATTCAAACTGCTTCCGTTAAGTGTTCACAATCATCATTCCCTGATCTCTCCATAAGTTCATTAACCAGAGGAATATTAATTAGAGGAATATCTCATGTCAATATGGATGCAAATATGGGTTTAACAACAATTGAAAGCCTTAAAGATCTTAAATTTATATCAACATCCAGAAAGGTACGGAAACAAGCATCAAGTTTAAATTTGGTTTCTGATTAGGAGCAATTAGGATTATCAAGTTCATCCAAGAAAATCAATTGTCGTCTTAATTTTAGCTCTTCGTGGTTCTTCAATCAATCAACTTGGTTACTTCATTTCTTCATAATCCTTATTTTACTTGATAAACATGAGCGTCTTCTGCTTCTGTTGTTTTTTTATCAAAGTAATTAGCAAGGGTTAGATAATTGATTTGGCCAATTTAATTAAAAGCAAAGTCATAGAGACAGACAAAAGAATCAAAAATCTTTTCACCCAATTAACCTTTTACCCAGCAAATGCATTAAAATTTATCATCAGCTTGTTATTACTTAGGTTTTTCCTCGTTCACCTGAATTTACACTTGAATTCATTTCTATCGATTAACTTGTTAATCTTGGAATCAATTTTGTCACATTATTGATCTTGCACTACATATTGATATAAGATAATAAGAATTGAGAAGTAATAGTAACATCTAACAATTTAACATGAAAAGTAAAATATATTGTATCAAAATGACGCTCAAAATTAATCAAAATCAAAGTGAATGTCAAAGACAACAAAAGCTAACAAGTGAAAAGACAGCTCAAATCATTGTAATTGTATCTTTTTTCCCTCTTCAATCTTACCATTAATTTATATTCATTTTAAGATAATGAATTACAATTTTAAATGGTAAATTAACATAGAAGAAAAAAATTAAATTAGATAATCAGTAAACCTTACATGCTCTTTGTAACATCTACTTATAAAAATAGGCATTCAACAGCAGCAAAAAAACGAGAAACAAGATTGCATATAATTCAGGCTTGGTTAAACGTTATTTCACGCTGGTTAGCAATTCCTATGAAAAAATCAAAACAACTCAGCTTGAAATAAAGAATGAATGAAAAAAAATTATCCTCTTATCCTTCAATAAGTTTTATAGTTCAGTCTTGATGTTTTACCCTGACTTTCTTAATCCTAATAATTAAACTTGAACTCACTCCTAACAATGTTTAACCTTTTCAACTCTTTTGTTTCAATGTTAACCAAAATAATAATCATTGACTTATAGTAAATTTTTCCATTTCCATTCCATTTAGATTAATTTAAATGCAACTTGGATTGTTATGGACAATTTGAAGACTGTTATTGCGAGTCGATCTGGACGAAGTTATCCCAACATATTATCCCTTTGTGCTTGTCCAAATGGTAATCTATTTCTATCATCAAGTAATAATCAATGTAATGCTCATGACACTATCTGTGGTAATCATTATTCATTTAATGATCAATCTATTAATAACAACTTGGTTACATCAAAGGATCAATCTTGATACCTGTCATCAACTTAGCTTGAAATTTAACTCAACACTTTGCTTTTGTTTTGTTCATAATTTTTACATTGAAAACTTTATAAACTCAATGCTGATTGATGTAAAATTGTGTATATTAAATTGGTTTACAAAGCATAAAAATTAACAATTATACTGTTATAGTATATGAGATATTATTGTAATATAACAATTTGTTGAACTTTTTCCATTAATCCACTCTATTCTAGCAATCTAATGAACACTGAATAAAATCAAGTGATGAGTTTCACTTTTAGAGTCATTCGAGTACAATTATTCCTGATTGATTGATTGACCGACTCAACCAGTCACACCGACAATATCATGTCAACCTGGTTTATTAAAAAAAGGATGACATTTTAAGAAGTCATTTATCTTATCCAATCTGTTTGAAAAACACTTGACACTGTAACAGTGAATCGATGAGATTTCACTTAACTGTCAATCAATGAATGTGTCACAAATTATGAACAAAGTTAAAGTCAACTCAGAATATAATCAAATTGATATTCATAATTTAAAAGATGATAAAACCAGGAGACAATTGAATAAACAAACAATGAAACCGGTTACCTTTTTGGGGTCATTAAAAAATTTACAAAGATCGACTCCCTATCAAGTACGGATCATTGATACTTTTAGATACAATATCTTATTAAAATCTTAATGTCATCTTTGGTTGAGTAAACAATTTACAGTATTGCCTTTTTTGCATTTTATTTGAATTAATTATTTATTAACCCAACAACAATGTTTAAATTTCATTTTGTGTACTCAATGTTGCCATTTATTTTACCTTGATTAAATTAAATTGCCAACAATAAAGGGAAAAGTGATACGAACATCTAATAATCAAAAGGCAACTCTATTTTGTCACTTTTCTCATCTCATTTCTTTACATGTTAAAGATAAAAAGTTTCGTCTTTTTTTCATGGTGCTCTTCAAGTTTATATTAAATCCTGTAAAATTGAAAATAATATACACAACATCAGCTGCATTATCATCATCATCATCATCATTGAATGATAATGATGTCAACTCTTTCCTTGTGACGAAAAAAAAGGTGTTACAGGTTTACTGTAAAATAAAGCTAACAAGAAAAAAAAGTGTTGTATTGTGCTGTGAAAAGACAAAATTAATTTACCCTTTTCTTGCGTCAATCAATTTTAAAGATAATCATGATGGCAAAGTAAAATTAAACTGCAACCAACAACTAACAATCTAATTATCAAAGATTTGCTATTAATAACCTTCAACCAGCACATAATTTAGATGATAAAAGCAACAATGATTATATCTTTATTGTTTAACCCTGCCATAGGAAGTGAATGTTGAAAATCATATTTCTAATTATGGAAACTAGAAAAGATGAGCTCTGTGATTGTTACAAAGGAAACTTAATTAACCAAATTTAGTCGACTAATTATTTCAAAGATTTTCGCAAGATTAGTTACAGGCAACTTTATTGATTCTGTATTAGGATGGTTTCAGTTTGGATTAATGTGATTCAAGACACGAATATTTCTTGTAACTTGTTATACCTTTTTGCTGTACATTTTTTGTGTCAACATATTTGTAAACATCCATGTATTATTTGCTATACTTGTAACATGTTTTTTCATGGTAACATTTATCCCCTTCAAAAGAAATGATAATCTTTTTGAATGTTCAGAATTTTACTCCAATCTTTTCATTTTTTTTCCTCCAAAAAAAACCATCTTCTAAACCATTTTACTCATTATATTTAGTTTAAGGTTGAATTGATACAAATGAACAATCACTTGCTTTTTGATTTCAGTCGTTTTTTTTCATCCTCTCCTCATTTCTTATTCAATCTGTTCAACTTTTTAACTTCCTAATGTTTATCCACAGACAGACAAACAATCAGTTGATTACAATTGCAAATAACAGTAAAGGTTTGTTGACATATTAATGTTATTCATCTTATTCACGCACAGCAAACAGTTTCAATAAATGGTGTTGATGAAGGTGAAAAATGGTTAAATCGTGATAATATGTCAACAGATTGACCATAACTGGATTAAATGTTTACCCTGTGACTTGAATAATAAAAGGTAAAAATGAAAAGCTGAGATTGAAAGTAAAATTTTTCAAATCTTTTCAACTTCACTCCATTTCCAGGGTTAAAATTGAATAAACTGAACAACCCAAAACAAGAACCCAATGTAACACATTTACAAGCTCATTGATAACTCAAGCTTTACTTAATGATTGTTGAAATTTTATCAATTCCTTGGTGACTAATGAAATTAATAGCTAATAGAAGGATGCAAATAAACAATCATATTGTTGAATAGCAATCAAATTTAATGTTTGCGCTGTTAAATTAGCTTTTAAGGGTTTAAACCAATTCTCAAAACTTAAATATAATTGTTATCATCATTAATACAGCTTCAATTTTTATACGCCTTTTGAACGTAAAATGATAATTTCACTTTACCTTCACCATTACACCTTACCTTTTTTACGGCCTTTTAAAGGTAAAAAGAAGAAGATGAATAAAAAGGAAAAATTATTCTCATCTTTGATCATTATTGTTAGCATTATCGTTACCATCAATGGCAGAGTTATTAAGATTGTTGAATTGGTTGGCAGAAAAAATGGGAATCAAAAATTTAGTTACATGAAAATGTATGCTTAAAGTAAAGAAGCTTTCATATGATTCAAATATAATCCGCTTTACCCTATCATCACTATTATTAATTCATTTTTTTCACTCAAACATGATGGAAACAAGATGATGAAAAATATGAAAAAAGTAGAAGCAAGCTTAATATCTTGTTCAATCTCACTGAATTTTTTCACCTAACATGTGTTACGCTTTTAATAGTCAATCAAATGGTTATTTGAATTGATCATTTCAATAACAGCTGAACAAATGAATAAAGAAATGTTTCTGTAAACATATTTTATTAATACATTGAAAATGTTTGAAAATTGATGAATTTACATTGGAAAAGGCTATTCTGTTTTGTTTTGTCTTTTTTTCATGATAAATCAGGTTGAACCGGACTCGAGTTTCCTGTTTTACCTTTTAATTTTCCGGTTAATTTTGGGTTTAAAAATGAACCTTTAGGTTATTTATTATGATCAATATTTATTGTTGAAATGACTGGAAAATTACAAATGTGCAAAAAATCAATTGTTTAGGAAAAATCTTGACTTCATCTGGTTTGATTGTTGTTGTATTGTAGGTTTGTGTTACACATTTATTCAAGTCTTGTTAATTAATGTTGGATTTTGACGACTGTTAATTAATGATAATTTAGGAGTGGAACTGTGCAGTATAAAGGAAATGTTGATAGATTAGTGAACAACTGAAAAAATTTGACTTAGATGGATACTGTTGATATACAGTCGTTTAATGTCTGTCAACTAATTGTGATATTAACTCCCTGGGAAGGTTTATTAGTAAGCTTGTTAACAACTTTTCAATTTGTATCATCGCCTTAATTATAACAGCTATTAGATGAGAGTAATAATAACTAAATTAGACTTGCTCTTAATGGTGGTAGAGTTAACATGAGAAAAAATAAGTTGAAAAAATTAACAATCATCCAGCGGCTTTCACTAATAAGTCTCATAGGAAATTATGAAAAAAGTTGTGCTAATGATAGTTTTTTTGTGGCTTATGATAACTTAATTTGACTCAATTGTGTTTACTGGAAATTATTAGATTTTTTATGTTTAATATTCGATTGTTTGGAAAGTATGATTTTTTAATATCTACATTATTGTAAAATTCAATGGATTTGTTTTTGTATTGTTTTCTTCAGGATTGATAAAACTTCATTTAAGGTCTAGATTATATCTATTGGTAAACATCAATCTCAATTCATTCATTCATCTTTCTTCAAACTAGGAACACATTAAGATTATAATAAATGTTGGAAAATTAAGGATTTCTTATGTTTTAGGATCGATCAATGTTTGTGAATTTTTTGATTTTGACAAGGTATGGTGAGATATAATATTTAGCCATGTTTTTGCCAATAAGTAATATTTTGTGGAGAATGAACTGAAATTGAATTACGGCATATTTATTGAGTTTGGATTCGGGAGCGCGTTGTTTTATCAATTGGAAATAAATCGAATAATGTTAATTTTTAAAATGAAAAGGATTGAAATATGTCAATCCTTTGTTATCCCATTTATTATTATTATTTAAACTTGGTTGGAATGGAACAAAAGAGAGACAAAAACCGTCGTCTTCAAGATTATCCGTTGTCTGTTTTTCTGTTTCTCTAGCTTTTCTTGATGGTGTGTGTGTGTGTTTATTAAATAAAAATTAACTATGATGACGGATTATTTGTGTGTTATTTTATAGCAAGCAATTCAAAACCTAAAATGATTTCATTACATCCTATATCCTTGGTATTGATAAGCTCCAGGAACAGAGCTACCAGGGAAAACTCCAGGTACTCCTGGTGGTACAACAGGTACAACAGGGACACCAGCGACTCCGGGAGCAGCTCCTGTCATTCCTGGAGGTGCAGTTAACATTAATTGGGGTTCAGCAGCTGTAACGAGATGAACAAGGATAGTAATTATAGCAGATAATAATTGAAAATTTAACCAATGCGATTAATTTTAATTCAATTTAGGATGAAGGAAGGATGAAATAAATTATAAAATGGTCAAACTTATTTGTTAATCGTTTAGAGAAGGTTTTAAATTAAAAACTTGCTGTTAATGAATAGAGTAAACCCTTTCAAATAAGTTACACCACAGTAAATTAATTAATAATTTAAAGAAATACTAACCATAAACTAGAGATTTCTGCTCTAAAGCAGTTTCTTCGAGTTTTTGATCCACAGTTTCTCTTAATTCGTCCACTTTGCTAATGTACTCTCTCATGATATTGATAAAATATGGCATAGCATATTTCATGATATCATGCCTCCATGCCAGTTCCATAACAACATCGGGATGAAGAAGATCATAACATTGGAATAGAGATGCAGCAAAGCAAGTATAGTTTTTACGTTCTAAGAACCAAAGTAAAAGATCTTCTGCTACTTCGGGATTCTTTGATTCAGCAGCGTATTCCATAGCATCTTTATAGAGCCCATCTTTTTTACAAAGTTCAACCGATTGTTTCCATCTGTTATTACCTTTGTAAAGGTATGCAGCGATACGTCGGAATTCAATTAATTCATGTTTCTCAAGTCTCTGGGCCAATGCAATATTGTCGAAGTTATCAAATGCATCAATTGAGGTGCGTAATCCTTGATAATCTTCTTCCTCGATCAACAAACCGTTAAGAGCTTCATTAATAGCTTTGTTGTTTAAGCTTTGAACCGATCGCAGATAAGCTTTAACTAAAGGAAGATGATTAGTTTTGGTAAAGAATGTAACTGCTCGAGTGTGATCCATTCGAGGTGCCAGTATCAAAAGCAAATCATTTAAAAGCATTGGTTTGTAATCAAGATAGAATTGGATTGCCTTGTAGTAAAGTTCAATATTTGCTACTTTGGTTATCATTTCTTTGAAATGGCCCTCTCTCCAAGCTTCTGTTGGATGAGACATCATGGTAATCACGGCATTGTCAAACTCTTCATATTTATCATAAAGGAATACCAATTCTGACCAAAGATGCGCTTGTTCAGCTGCCTTTAAAACTTTTGGGATATTCACACGAGACCAGAAAAGTTCCAAGTGTTCTTTCATCTTAGATGGTTTATACTTAGAGTAAAGAATAGCTAACTCTGTGAACATTCCCATGTGGGCTCTTTCAAGACCTATGTAAATAAATAATCAAGTTAAAAGTGACAAAATTGGTCAAAAAGCAAACAAAAAGTTTAATTATAATTAACTTACCGAGAGCAGCTTCTAATAAACTGATAAGTTCTTCAAAGTATCCTCTACTTTGATAATAATTGATAAGATCCTCCAATTCATCAGCATGAACAACAATATGCAAACCACACATTTGTGCTAGTCTAAATTCTTCGTTATCAACACAAGCAAAGCAAACCTCTTTCCAGGTTCGGGTAGAATTAGCTTTACGGGCTGAATCAACGGCTCCTTGAAACTCTTTAAGGTGAACTAAGGTTATTGCAAGGCGGCCAAAGTTGGACACATTATTGTATAAAAGTTTAGCCGCTTCATAAAGAGTATCTTCAAAACATCGATCACCAACTCGAGAGATATCAGCATGGTTGGGTGCTGAAATGAACTCCTCAAGATCAGCGAGTCGACCAGTTTTAGCGTAAGCATAAAGCAACTCAGATTCAATACTAGATTCACGCGCCTTTTTGCGAGCCATTTGCAAGTATCGAACCAAATCTTCCCAGTGATCAAGTTTATGTGCAGTAGCAACAACATCCATATATGCTGATGGGTCTCCTGCTTTGATGAAAGAGTCAATTGCTTCTTTAACCATTCCTTCAGCCAATTGAGCTCGAGCTAATAAACTCCATACAGCTGGTTCGTTACATCTTTCAGCAAATTCATAGGATCGATCAAGATTTTTAATATGATCGATGAGAACTTGAATAGCTGAGGTGTTGACATCAAACTTTTTGAAGATAGCAAAAGCTTCTTCGAATAATTCAGAGCTAATAGCAATATTAGCGATATCAGGGGCATCATAATTGTCCAATCGATTAATATATTCCATAACTCTAGTTCTATCGGCTTTAATAGCAGTCAATATCAACAAATTTTGGAGATTTCGGTGATCAGAGAAGGCAGAATTATCTAAAACAATCTTCTCTAACAGCTCAATCAGTTCATTTGGTAAATCAGCAGTCATAAAGGCTTTAACGGTAACTGAAATATCTTCAGGGTCTTGTGTTTCTGAAAGAGCAGTTTGAACAACCTGTCAAGAAACAGTTAGAATTAGTTTAAAGTTCACCAGTAAAGCAATTTTTTTACAAACCTGGTCAATAAGTTGTCGTCGGAATGGGTTACTTTCAATTAATACTTGTGCCCAAAGCTCAGGGTCTCTTCGTTTGACAAGGTAACGTGCTTCACTTTTGAATAAGGAATTTTCATTGCAAACATTGATCAACTCGATATCGCATTGTCCTCTTTCATAAGCAACACAGGCTAGGTGAGGGTTACGTTTTTCACAATATTTACCAACAACTTTGCTGTCGTAAAATTGATTTTCTTTCAAAAATCTTTCAGGATTGTTGTTGGAATCAATGTAGATTTTGGCTAATGCATTATGGGTAGCTGCTTCGGTGCAGCCTTCATGAACACGCATTTCGAGCCATGGAAGTAAAAGCTTGAGCCGATTTCTCTTTTCAACTTCTTCAACTAATTCATCAGTTGAAAATTGTCCTTTAACTACCATGATCAATTGTTTGATAACATCTTCCGAGCAGTCAACATCTAATAATCCACCAATTACTACAGGCAATCGAGATGGATTAACTTTTTGAACATAGATCTCAATATATTTTTGTAAATTGTTACGATAAAGGTAAAGAACAAGATCATGAACGAAGTCAAATCGATCGCAAACAATAATAAGAGGAAGTTGATCAGTTAATTTAGCTTCTTTGAGGAAATTTTTAACACGCTCTGCGTTATAACAATTACTTTCACGACATATTCTTTCAACCTCTTTTATCTGACCGGTTTTACAGGCAGCCTAGGAGATAATAAGAAAGAGAATAAGCATTATTTCTCTAGTTCAACCACAAAACATTAAGAAAATTTGAAAATTAAATTTCAATATTGGTAAAAAGCTAACACTAGTACTTACTTGAATATATTTGAAATGAACTTCTGGATCTTGACTAAAGTTGACAATAGAACCAAGGAAATAGAATAAACCTTCGTAACTTTTGAAAGACTCGAAAAGTTCAATAAGGGATGTTGTTGTAAGTTGTTCATGATATTTAGTGGCAACTTGAACAGCAATTTGAAGATTTTGCCTGATGTTGTGAGTCAACATTGCTTTAAGACATTCAATCGAATCTTCTACGGAGAGTGTACCGAAATAGTTGACAAGCCATTCAGGGTTTAAAAGATGTGTATGAACGATCGCCCTCTTAATATCATACAGGTCAGTATAATGTTCTAGGGCTCTTTGAAGTAATCCTGCCTTCTCACAAAGTTGAGCAACATGAGCTCGATCATAATGAGTGAAAACTCCGTTGCCTAAAATAGCATCAGCTACTTGAGGAGCAGTGACCAAATTCATTTCCAAAAGACGAGTTTGAAGTGGTCCTTCGGTGGGTCGGTTATGCTTAAGAGCTTCGAGAAGAAAGACGGTGCATGGCTGAACCAGATTTGATTCCATAAAAACGTCAACTATTTGGTTAATATCTGAAAGAGGTTCTTCATCTTGAACTAGCATTTGAGCAAAAGCTGCTCCTTGATCGGGGTTGGTTCTCATCACTTGTCGCAATAAATTGGTATAATCAGGGGTGTATCCAACCTTTTTAGCATACAAAACAATTTTTTGAAACTGTCCAGTTTCTGCGAAACACTGAATAACCTTATTTGGTACATTGGCTCTTAAATAAACAGACAGAGCCAAGGTGGGATCCACGGCTTTAACTAAATCTCCAAGTTCTTCACTGCACTCAAGCTATTCCAAGAAAAAATTTAGAAGAGCATAAAATTAATTAGTCAAGGGAAATAAGCCTTTTAAGATAATAAAGATTGGGATAAAATTACCTTATCATCTTTTAACCACTTTTCTAGTAGTTGTTTACGACCTTGTTGAAGAACAGGTCGACAAAGCTCAAGAGATTCAAATTTGTTGAGTTGAAAATGATCCAAGAGAATGCCAAAATACTGAAGAAGAGGTGAAGTTTGGCCAGGTTGAGTTGGCACTTGTTGGAATCTACGAATGGTTTCAGGGGTCCTTAGAATACCTTTTGGTGCACTAGCTGCTACTTTTGCAGCTTCAGTATATTGACTATTGGCAAAAAGAGTGTTAAACTTGCGGACAAACAAATCTTCAGCGCCTGGAAGATTGTTACGAGCAGCAATCCTTAAAGCTAAATCAGGATTGGCCAAAGTCGTGGTAATATATGGAATGATATTCTCTTCGTCTACACAAACCGAAAGAACTTGACCTTTACGGTTGACACCTATGATACCGCTAGTCGGCTCATAAGGTGCAGTAACAAAAATGGTATCTCCTGTAATACGGTTCATGTATATACAGATTCCGGTTTCAATATCATAAAGATGAACATAGCCAAATTTAGTGATGAGATAGATAATGTCATATTTAGTAGAGATCTGCATCGCTACAGGAAAATCATTTTGTGCTTCAGCAGGGAAAAATACATCTACTGCTTTTTTGGGGTATGGTTGATTACCGGTAGGTGGTTGACCGACTTCTATTATATGGAGCTGTGTGCGAAAAATGACAATAAAGAAAAGGGAATCATGAGAGAATGGAAAAAACAGTGAGAAATAAATTAGAGCATAGAAGAGCTCCTTTTATTGATATTTCAATGAGTAGACCCATTAGACCAGTTACCTTTCCTCCTTGCGCTGTTCTTGCAGCGAAGCAGAATAGAGTTGAAGGCTCGGAGTTACCTTCCATCTTAAATTTAGAGAAAGCAGCAGCATGGCCTTCAATAGGTTGGCTAACTTTACGTTCAGTTGAATATAATTGCATAGCTCCAACTACCCGATTTTGCTATAATCAGTAAAATTAACAAATAAAATATAAAATAGATAAGTTAGCAAAAATGGAGCAAAAATAAATGGTTATGTTTGTCAAGACAAGAATGTCAAGTGCGCCCTCACCATATGGGAGAGGAAATTATTCAATAAGAAATGACATACCGAAGCAGATATACCAATCAAAAGTAACCATTGAACTCTATGGTCAGTTCGATAGTTGATTATTTGGCATCCTTGAAGAGATGCATGACGATCAAACATTTTGACAGGCTGAGAGTCCCCTTCCATGCTCCAATGGTAAACTGCTCCTTCAGTAACCAATGCAATAGTATTAAGATTGATCCACTTCCAAAAGACAACATCCTCTGTCATTGTATGAGCTTTCATTTTTGATTTCATTTCAATATTGAATATTTGTAATGTCCTCATCGCTTTCAAAGCAATAACTTTAGATGCGGGATTCATGATGGCTGAATCGGCGGAAATAGGTCTACGAATCGGTGTAGTAGGATTAGACATGTCAATGATAACGACCTGAGCCGAGTCACCAACTTTCTCTCGGACACAGATAAATTTATCTGACTCCATAGTAAGAGTATTGAATGTGATGTTGGCCGCATTGATTCCTATTGCTGTGAGCTGTAAAAGAAGAAAAAAAATTAAAATTTATTGACAAAAAGGCAAGAGAACAGGATAAATGAATGAATAATATGTTAGAAGGGATATACGCTAAAAGGGGCGGCAAGTTGCATTACTTAATCTGCAATGTCTGACAAGTAACACAAGGAGTAACACTATCACTGTCTGAGAAGTTAAGACCAAGCATTTGTCTGAATCATGTTTATCAATATTTTTGTTTAAGAACATGTTAAGAAACTTGACCAATATAAAATTAATCACACGAGGAAATTGGTTATGTTGAATTAAGATAATAAACTAATAGGTATTTAAGGTTAAAACAGTAAAACAATAACATAACTAGAACCAGTACCGGTTGAACGATTAAAAAAGCAAGTTATTATCTATCTTCACCAATGGAAAAAACTAATCTATTAAAATGAATGATGAAAAAGATTCAATTCTTACCTGAAGATGCTCTTGAAATTTAATTGGAAGTGTTTGAGACATGATTAAAATAATTAATCCAGAGCCTAGTAATTAAGAGAGGCTCAAAATAATGATGAGACAAGATTCACATCAGCATCGTTTATTAGGATGTATAAAATGTATACAAACTGCCATGAAATGACTGAACAGCTTTACAGACTTAGCTGTGTACTGCCCCCTGGTGTGGTCATATTTGGCTTGTGCCATTACATAGAGTTTATAAGCGGGAATTATAATTGATTACAATGTACATCATAATTAATTTTAAGAAAGTCAATCACTTATTCAGATTTCCAGATTTGAATTTCCATTGTTTTCTTCATTGTTTGTTTTTTTCTTTTTCCATTTTCATCATGATGAATTTTATCCATTTATCCAATACTTTCCATTGTTTTTGTCTCATTGTATCAATGTTCCATTCCTTTAGGTCCTTTGGAATTTGTTGTATCTCCTCATTGTTCAGGGCTTCCAACTTCCATGCACTCACCACCACACATTTCATCAGGATATGCTCCATCCCCCACTCTTTACTTCCACATGGGCATTTCATTAGTCTGTTTTGTGCTTTTCTCAATGCGTAGAATCTGGATATGTTTGAAACTTTTCCTTCCGGATACAGATATGTCCATATACTTTTCTTGGAGTTCCACCATGTTTTATATATGTTGAGCGCCTCATTTTCTGTTTCATTTTTTATCTTGTATATTGTTTCCGGTCTTTCTATCAGTTCTTCAGGTCCATCCAGAAACAATCGCTCTATTCCATCGTTCCTGATCCATCCCCAGTTTTCATTGGAAATCTCACACATTACTTTAATTATTTCTTTTGAGAAGGTGCTTTTGGAAAATATACTAGTCTCCATTTCCTTCGTTATCATCAGGATTATTTTTCCATTGTATCTGTTCATCATTTTGACTACATTCTTCAATGCTATTATTTGGATTTCTTGGATTGACTTGACTTTATCAGATTTATATATTTTTGTGTAGGCTGTTTGATTACCTCCTTTCCATATCTGATATTTAAACCATTCTGAATTTCTTCTAGATACAATGATCCATTTCTCTCCATTTAGTTGGTAAGTTTCTTTATTGATTATGTTGCTTCTCATCTGGCTTGTACATCTTGTTGTATTTCTTCTTAGTTTGATACTTTCTTTTATGATGTTGATAATATCCTTATGATGTCCCTCCAGTAGTATTATTTTTTTGGACTTGTTTTTTGGCCATCTCAGTATTCTTTTTACTATTCCTAGGATATGTTCTATGATGATGTCAATTCTTTTTTGAGTTGTTCCCGAATCTGTTTGTGTTAATAATAGAGATAATGAACCTTTTTTTGCCTTTTGTATGATGAGTGACGATATGATGAGTCTTTTTGCTTTTTCAGGTAAAAATTGAATGTCCGCTTTTGTGTTCCATTCTTCCATCATTTTTTCCTTTTGAGTGTCCATCTTCTCTTTGTACAACCCTTTTGCCCCTTTTTCCTCTATGCCAATTATTGGTTCTCCAAGTATACTTAACTTCCCCTCTTTTATATCCTTTAGTCTGAAGATTTCTGTTTTTTTCTCATTTATTTCCAAATTTACTCTTTTCATCAGTTTGATTACTCTTTCCATTGTTTTCTCCTTTTTGTCCGTAATTAAGATAATGTCATCGGCGAAGGCTTTAATCATGATAACTGCCTTTCTTATTTCCTTAAGCACTTCATTGATTGATATTATAAACATTATTGGTCCAATTGATGACCCTTGAGGTGTGCCCTCAGTTTCTTTCTTATATCTGAATTCTTTGTTAGTATTGAATTTCAGCCATCTGCTACAAGCGATTGAGTTTAATAGTCCTGAGGTTGATTCTCCGCAGCATCTTTTTATTTTTTCCATGGCAACTTTTGTATCTACCTTGTCAAAGGCTTTGGAAATGTCCAGTTTTATCAAATAATCGCTATATTTCATTTTCTTAATGTTGTCGATTATCTCTGAGATCATTTGTTGTCTGTTTCTGTCTTCCATGTAGGCATACTGGATTTCATTGTCAACCATTTCATCTATCTTATCTAATAATCTCTCCGTTAATATCTTATCCAGAATTTTCATTAGGTAGTTAGCAGCTTTTATCATCCTTACACTTTGATTATCCGCTTTTGGGACAAAACCAATACCAAGGGTTGATACATATTCTGGTATATGTGAGTATTCTATAATTGTTCTGATTGTCAATAATATCTCTGCTTTATTATTGTCCATAAATCGTTTCCATTTGGTCTTTGTAAATTCATCTGCTGCCAGACTGGATGTCTTGCTCTTGAAGTTTAATACCGTCTCGATTTCTCTTTTGGTTATTGCCCCTTTAATATTGCTTGGTATATCCTGATAGACTGGTTTTTTCGTTGTGAAATCTGCTATCTGTGCATTCCTTGATCTGATCATGTCCTTATTGAATTCGATTCTTGTTGATCCAAGGTATTCTTTTATATATTTCCATGTTTGTTTGGATGTCTTAGCTTCTTTTAGTTTTAAGTTAATGCTCTTTGTTAGTTTACATAGTTTCTTTATTTTGTTGATACGAAACCATTTCCCATGGTTATTTGGAAAATTGATTATTTCCTTACACATTTTTATTATCGGGCTGTGTTTGCTCCATCTTTCTTCCCTTTCCTGATGAGTGTTACCTTTCCAATTGAGTTTCCATGAACCAATCTTAAGGACTCTTTCCATCTTTGTATCCTTCTTTTTTAGTATAATGTTGGCTATTACTGCTTTGTGATCTGTAAGTGGTAATGTGATAATCCGTACCCATTTTATCTTAAGATTTTTACTTGTAATGATAAGATCCAATACTTTATTTCCTCTGGAATAAGTTGCAATTTTGCCATCATTCACTATCCTCAGGTTGTTTCTCTCAATTATAGTCCTCGTTGTCCTTCCTATCATGATTTGTTGGTAACCAGAATTTCTGGTATCTGACCATAATTCATTATGTGCGTTTAGGTCTCCCATCAGGACAATGTTTTGATTTGAGAATCTTCTAATCAGTTTTTCAATTGTTTCCAGTTGGTAGTGGGCCAGTTTCTTTTGTTCCTCATCGAAGTGTCTTATATAACAGGATATTACTATCACATTGACCTCTTTGAGATATACAGCTATTAGACACTCCACCTCCGTTGTAATCCTGTCAAAATTGATACTTTCGGATATAACTAGAGCCATTCTACTATTTTGGATAATATTTGACGTGGTATCTATCTCATTTATGGCTTTATGATTTATTTCACAAATGCAAAGGCATGTTTCGTCCTGATATTCCGTCTGATTTATTATTCTCTTTGTAATGGAGTTAATTTTGTTCACGTTCACCGTACTGAATAGCATTTTCACTGTGTTATTAGTTGTATTGTTGTTTTACCTGTGAGAGGTAACCGGTTTTTTTAAATCCGGTAAAACCAGGTAATTTTTCTAGTTGAGATATTTGGCGGTAAAGATGATTTTTTATTTCCATAGATTTTTAATTCTTGTTCGAGAGTTTCAATGTTTTCTTACCGTAGTTATGTTCATAGAGTATCGAACTAATCGAAAAAGTTTTCGATTAATCGCATTTTGGGTTTCTTTCAGATGGCTATTTTAATTGTTTGGTGGCTTTTTAACTCATTAGAGGAAAAAACTCTTAATTGTGAGTAATTCTCATTAGTAATGAGTGAAATATTCATCTGTTAATCATTTATTTTCTGTGATTATTACTAATTGTTTTATCATTCCTTTATTTCATTCTGGTTTTTTCCATAGTTAATCATTTTCCTGAGATTCTATTTCACAAGTCTATTGTTTTTATCCTTTCAGGATTTTCTGGTAAGTAAATTTTATTATATTAAGATGTATTGTATTCATATTGTATTAATGTATGTATTCCTTTCTTTATTAGTTATTATGTCTCTTACCCTTGGAGCTGTTCAGAGGATTGTCTCTGGTAGATATGTGGTAAAACCTCAGTTGCAGATATTGAGTTTATCAACACTCAAGAATAATACTTCTCGTGTTTGCTGCGATCTTACTGATGGTATACAATTCTGTCCCAGTGTTATTTCCCTAGTTCCTGATCAACCTTTGAAAGAGAAATCAATTATTCTCTTGGATAACTATTCTTATGATTTCTCTCCCTTATTCGGAGAATATATCATCGAGGTTCTTAGATATAAGTTATTTCCTGATATCTCCGATGTTGAGGATCAGGGTCCACTTCCATTGGTATCAACTCCTGTTTTATTGGATTTTTCTAGCCCAAATAGTCCTTTGGAAATTAATAATAGGAGTGCCAGTTCATCGGTTGTGCCAGCTAATCAGGATTCCCAAAGTGTACCTTTGGTCATCTCTCGTGTTTCCCCTCTGAATTCAGCCTCTGAGACCTCCTCAATTGTATCTATTTCTTCCAAGAGACCAGCCTCTACTTCTACCTACTCTTCTAATTTCATTATGGCTTCAGAGCTTTATTCCAAAAGGGTTAGGCGTCAATCTGGTACACCTCTTCCCATTTTTAATTTGAGTTCTCAGTCAATCTGGACCATAAGAGGTCGAGTTACCAAAAAGACCGCGTTAAGGGATTTAACATCTGGAGGACATTGGTTCTGTTTTGAGTTGTCCGATAATTCAGGGACCATCAAAGTTAATGTTTTTAAGGATGAGAGTATTAGGTTTTTTAATCTATTGAAAGTTGGTAAAGTTTATACTATATCCAACGGAGATCTTATACCGTCAAAGAGGAAGTTTAATACCACCGGACACTTGCGTGAAATTACCCTTAAAGATATAAGTGTTATTAAGGAGGAGATAAATTTCAAGGAGGAGGATTTCCCTGCTGTGGCCTCAAATTTTGTTAAGATTTCAGCTTTAAGAGATATTTCCCTTGGTACTATTGTAGATACCGTTGGTGTTTGTCTGTTTTTAACTCTGGTTAATCAGGAAGGAGAAGCCGGGCCTCGTCGTTCAATATTACTCTTGGATGATTCTGCTACTGAGATCAGAGTAACCATTTGGAATTTATCTCTAGAGGATTTTAATCCACCTGTTGGATCTGTTCTTGTACTTAGAGGAGCTCGGCTTGTACGTCAGTTTTGTGGACGAATCCTCTCCGTCTCTGCATCTGCTACTGTCGAAATCAATCCTGATATTCCTGAGGTTTATTCTCTTTTGGATTGGTACAATACTAATGGAGATACTGTTTCTTCAACTTCATTATCTCGAGGTTTCTTCGGTGATTTTTCCCCCATTAGTTCCTTACCGTCATCACTTCAAGCTGACCAGATCATTTATACTAATTTGGAAGTTTCCATAGTGTCTGGTAGTGGTCATATCTATAAGGCTCACACCGATTGTGGAAAAAAGGTTAAAATTTATAAGAGAAATGTTCCTGTTTGCGAGGGATGTACCGATACCCTCCCTGAGCTAATAGATCAACTGGTGATCACCTTCCAGGTGTCAGATTCCTCCGGTCAGGCTGAAGTGGTCGCCTTTACTGATGTTTCCTTAGATCTACTTTCTTTGACGATGAGTGATATCCCTGATATTACTGATGAAGACCTTTCTCTATTTTTAGAGAGACTTACTGACAAGACTTTTAAATTCTGTATTAAGACCAGGGAATCATTTTATCATGGAAATACCCATTTGCAACATTCAATTAAATATTTCTCTCCAGTTGTTATTTCTGAGATTTAGTCCCAGGAAATAACCATCTTGTAGGAAATAGGACCAGTGTTCTTTTCCTTTTATTTATAAATCTCCCTATCATAGTTACTTATCATGTTAATCTCATCCTACTGATTTCTTTCTTATATTTCCTCATGGACATAATAAATTCTATTTTACTATTTGTCATATTTCATATTTTATGTTTTATTTTATTCAATTTGTCATATTACGGTCATCTTATTTATTGTATTTATAAATATATTGTCTGTATTTCTAGTTGTGAAGTTGTTTAGCTTATATCAAGTTACTTCACTCACTCAGTCTAGTTTTTTCCTTGGAATCAAGCTTCTAGTTGAGTATTTCTGGGACACTACAGTGTTTGGGTGGGTGATTACATGTTTTGGGTTGTCCACATTTTTTGCATATAGTGTATTTAGCCACTATATCGAAGAATAATGTCCTGTCGCCGATTTGAATCCCTTCTTTAAATGCTTTTAGGTATATTTCTTTTTTAAGAAAAACATAATTCTTGTGATCATTATTTGGATATACTTTCGTATATAACCAATGATTTGTATTTCCAAATCCTTCCAAGTAGTTTTCAAATCGTTGTTGGACTTCCCCATCGTTGGTATTTGATTGTTGAGCCAAATGGTATCCTGTTATTACTACCAGTGCTTTCGAGCTCCCATTTCCAAGTATTTCCTTGATTTCATTTTCTTGATCCAATGGATTTAATCGCAATAGTGTCTTCCACTTTGTAGAGATGTTTCTCCATTTCGCCTGGACATTACGTTGTATTACATCCGGTATTACCCACGTGTCTTCATAAATTATTACTCCAATGGTTATTTTTTCATCTATAATCCCCTGGATTTGTTCTTTTCTAAGAGTTAGAGCTGATTTTACACACGTTTCCATTAGGATTACAGCTTCCAGTAGCTGATTCACTTTTTGGAACTCTATCTTGCTTTTTTGAGCCATCATCACATATATTAGCAGGATCCCTTTTAAATTGTTTGAAGTAGCTCCTTTTAATGTTACCATCGTGGCTGGACAGTCACATTCATTAATTCTCTCGATGAGTTTAATAACTGATTCTTTATCTTTTTCAATGGTGTCACAAAATGTATCACAAGTTAAATTTTCTTTGATAATTTTATTGAATATTTCGTTAAGTAGTTCCATAGTTATTTAGGATTAAGTCTTTTGGATTACAACAAGGTTAAGTTAGGGTTTTACTATTGAACATCAGATTGAAAGTAATACGATGGATAGGTTGTTTTTTCTTAAGTAATTTAGGGTGTTGAAATATTTTTCTTTGGAAGATTAGTAGCAGGGGGAAAGTATATTTCTTTTACTTTTGTTGTACAAGAGTTTGTAAGTTATTTGAGAGGGGAGGTAAGTAGTTATGTTCCTTTCTTTTGTTCATTAGAAGTTTCTATCTATCATGATATTGTGGTAGGTAACATCCACAAAATCCATTTTATTTTCAATTTCACGTTTGAATTGATCACAGTCTAAGGAAAAGGTTTTGTGGTTTCCTTTGCAGGTGGAACATTTTATCGGGTGAGTACAGTTGCTTTCTTTGCTATGTACCTTTGAACAGTTCATACATTTCTTATCTCCACCACAGTAGCCATGTCGGATTGAACCGCATTTACGACACTTACGTATCTCGAAGTGGTCTGACAGAGTGTAACTTCTGTTTCCAATCCTTATTTCACCATCTAATGTTTCAATGATATAATTTCTTATATCCCGATGGACATCCATTATTATTATTACAAACTTTGTGTTGCTTATGGGATGTATTGAGGATATAGCCAGTTTTTCTTTCTTGAATTTCTTCATCCCATTCCATTTTTTTACATTCTCCATTAGTTTTTCTGTTCCTTCGGACAGCATACTTTCATGCACTGAAAACTTTATTTGGGGATATCTGTATTTAGCTGATTCAATTTCTACATCTTTCAAATGTTTTCCAAGAATTTCCATCATTCCATCCCTGTCTTGCTCTCTTTTCATTACTACCAGTGTGTATTTATCGTCCGAGTATATGTTTTTGATGGCCGGAATCTCTTCCATAGTCTCTTCCACTAATTTCTTTACACAGTCTTTTTTATGTCCCGCTCCTTTGACAAATATACCATATCCTTTTGCAGTTGTATAGCTCCATGGTTTTATATGTCCACTGACTATTTTTTCCTCCTTTCTTGAGAACTTTGATTTCTCAAGACAGAATTTTTCTTTTCTGTCGTTATCCCCTTTCTTTAGTGCGATCTCATCGAACTTTCTTTTTTTGGATGTATTCTGATTCAGTGTCGTTGTATCCTTTCCATCAATTCTTCCTTTCAGAATTACAATTTGATTGTTCACCGTGTCATTGGTGCCTTTGTTGTTCTTTTGTACTCGGTTGTCAGTTCCATTTAGTAAGTTATTTTCAACGAACTCAAAACCTGGGATGTCGTCGTCTTTCCCCTGGGTTTTTCTTCTTTTCAGGTCGTCTTCTTGCTTTTTCTTGTTTATCTTTCTTTTGAGTGATCTCTTTTGGATTGTCCATTGTGCAGTTTTTACCAATTTAACAATATCTCTCATCAGTTTCGGTTCATGGACTCGATTGGCATTGACAGGACTTGGGTATTGTATCTCTGAAATAATCTTCTTTATTTCCTCTATCTTCTCATCTTTAAACTTGAGTATCTCCTCTTGAATTTTGGGGACTCTATTGATTTTGCATGTTGTGTCAATAAAGTTTCTAACTTGTTGTATATCCTCATCACTAATTTCTTTTTCCGCTCCAAGTTTTTCCCATTGATCAGTTTCTTTCAACTTTTCCAACTTTATTACCATATGTTCTGGGATTTGGATATCTTCTCTATTTTCTATCTCCTGGATCCATTCATGTAATTGTTTTCTTTTCAGTAAGTCGAATGATTCCAAACTCCATTCATTCACTTCATTTTCTTTACCAGTGACTACTACCTCCAAGAAACTTTCTATCTCTTTTACTTTCTTTTTCAGGAGTTCCTCTTGTGACGATATTTCACCTTCCCAGATGATCAGATTATCTGCTGATGTAATTTTTTGTCCTTCCGGTGCACCAAAGGTCCACCCCATTACCTCCATCAGTTTGTTAATATCTTGTATTAGCTCTGAGTTGTAGCTTCTTTCTGAATTTGGATTACTCCAAATTATCTGGATAATTGTTTCTTGGTATTTCTTTAGTGATTCTTTTGGAATTCTGCTCGTTAGATTCCTGATTTCATCGTCAGTGTTTGCTATCAGAACCCCAATCAGGAAGTCCATTAGTTCTTCCACTCGTTTTTCATCTGGTATTACTTGAGAGTATTGGATGCGTACGTGATTCTGGTCTTCTGTCAAATCTATTTTGGATATATCTGCTGTTGAGTTAGTCACAACTTGATTTTCGTTACCCGGTTGACTAGTTTGTGTCGACTCCGGTTGATTTGGACTTGTAACTTTGATTACTGGTTCACCTGATGTACCTGGTTCACCTGAAGTACCTGGTTCACTTGGTGTACTTGGTTCACTCACTGTTGATCGATTCGTCTCCATATTTCGTTGAGTTTCATCTCCATTGCTTTTATTCCTCGAGTATGTCTTAAGTTGGGGTTTATCATTTGTTTGATTAGACCCTTCCATTTGATTCACACTCTTTAATATTACTTTAGGTTAGAGATGTACTAGTATATCGTACTATGAGAGATTTCACACTAATGAGGTTTGATTAAGTGTGTAATTAATTTATGGACTATGGTTGTCTTAACTTTTTTTTTTAAACTGTTGTGCCAGGAGATTTCCTCCTTATATTTTATAGCCTTTTTTGATTTTTTTAGTCACTCTTTTTATCATATTTTCCATTTTTTTATTATGTTAGTTTATCTCATGTTTCTGTTGAACTTATTATTATAGCCTTTATTTCTCTAAAGGTTAGACTCTTATCTTTAGTGGATATATACTTTTATCTCTTTTGTATTTCTTTCCTTATCCTGATTTGAGATCTATTTTGTTTATTTCCCTTGATACCTTGGTTGTTAACTTATCTCTCAGATATTAACATATTTTTCTCTGATTGTTTTGTTAGTCTCTTTTGATTTGTCTTTTACTATTCCCTTGGTACCCTGATTCTAATCTTTTCCATTGAGCAATGTTGTATATGTTCATCGTTATCATGTTCTTATCTTGACCTTGTTGTCTATTATTATATCCAAATGAACATTTGCGATGAGGTCATGTTTACAGTTTATCTTTTCATTTGATCCTGTGACGACTAATTGTTTTAATTTTAGATATCTGATTTCTTTAGGACTTGAATTTCATTAAAATTGCAAGCGCATATATATTCCCGAGATTTAATGAGCACAATTTTTAATATTTCTTATAGTTTTTTATTCTTATGGTAAATCATTAGATTTATCTTTTATTACAGGAGATATATGAATATCTTCTTTTTTGAGTATTCACCATGTGAATGGTATTGTTTTTTCTTTAAGCTTGCTCAGGCTAGGAGCTAAGTTTGAGGAGTAATCTTGCTTATCTCCCGGACGAGCCAAAGCCTTCTTCACCACGTCCATTTTCAAGTTCCATGTGTTCTTTTACCTCCTCTATCTCTGGATGTACGATCATTTCACAGATTAATTGGGCAATTCTGTCTCCTCGTTTAACTCCATATCCCTCTTTTCCATGATTAAATATAAGCACTTTGACCTCCCCAGTGTAGTCTGGATCTACCACCCCAGCTCCTACATCAAGGAAGTGGTTCCAGGCCATCCCAGACCTCGGGGCTATCCTCCCATAACACCTTGATGGAGTCTGTATCTGCAATCCCGTTTTAATAAGCTGCTTACCATTAGAAGGTATGATCACATCCTCTATGCTGTACAAATCCATTCCTGCGCTCAAAGGACTTGTTCTGGTCGGTGTCATGGCTAGTGGATCCAATTTCTTGAATTTCAGTCTGTCCTGTGATCGTTCCATCTGATGATCTCTATCTCGTTTAGATGTATTTATTACTTCTTTGGCTTGAGATTTATTTTAGTTCAAAATCACTTATTCAAATCACTTAATTGGATTTATTTTTGCTTAACAAAAATTCTCACCTCACCTTGATCACATCAAAACTCAATCCTGAAAGAATTGAGACAATTAGGTTCACTGTAAAGACGTAAGATGGCGGAGTTTTATGTAATTTCTCGGTTTTTCTTTTTCCCGCCAGTAGCTAAGCTTTTCAAATTTCTTATTAACCAATCTTTTGATTAAATATCAGATTGATTAGCTTTTCAATGTTTTTAATTTTGTTTACATGTGAACTAAATCAAAGGAAAAATTTTCTCACTGTCTATTTGGAATGTCAATTTTACCATAGTGTTTAATTTCAACATTTTACAGTTTTCTTCGTAATTTTTGCAATGCAGCAATTATCATCTAATACCCTACGCTTTACTGGCGATAATTGTGAATTTATTATCCTGACAGAAATGGATATCAATAGTTTTAAATTTATCTTTCTATTAATGTGACGCTTGTTTTTCTGGTGGTTGATCTGAGTTAAATATCCAGCATATTAGATGGATGATCCAGTTGCTTCCAGCTCTGGTAACAATTCCACGGGAATAAACGAGAGTGATTCTCAAGTGAACAGTTGCTGCAACTTCATGTCTTGTTTTAAGTCGAAAAAAATTGATTCAACTCTACAACCAGCTGAAAAATTATTTATTCATTGTTGTACCATCTTTATACTTTCTTTTAGATGTTTGGCCGCTAAGAAAGATACAATTTATTCGGACAAGTTCACCAAATTCATGGACATTATGGCTGATGTTTGCTCTTTATCTTCCTTTAATGAGCGTGAACGTGATAGACTGTTGACTGTATCTCAGAACCGAGCTCAATCATTTTCTTATTATTTGCACATTTCGCTTATTTCAACTGATGCCATTGAAAAGATTGCTTCTCGAGGAACAGAAGATCGTGTTTTCTTAGCTGCTGAATACGTTGACCCAAAAGGCAAGCTTCGTTCAAAGACTATGCAATTATTTCAATTCGCAGCAAATGGTAAATGGCTTCCCTACTACAATTACATTACTAAAAAGAAAGACTCTTTAATGTTACCTTTATCACATTTTGTTGTTGATAATGACCAGACCATAAGCTTGAAATTGCTAATTGTGAAAGCAAAGTCCGAGATTTGCCCGTTAAAGGGTTCCTGGTGTTCAAAAACACAATCAATGTTGATTGTGACACTAAATCCTTCACAAATATATTGGAATGGTGTCGTCAAATCTTTTCCCGTGTCAGAAACACCACCAGGATTACCAACAATGCGATTAAAGATGAAATTAAAGTGGGCTTTAAAGCCTAAACTGGCCAGAGGAGGTTACAATTTATTCAGGAAGTCGTGGAAATTACATGACCAACTTTTAGTGCGGTTTTTTCATTATAGATGGAGAAAACGTGCCAATCTTCAATCATCTCATGCCGAATGTCAAAGATCAAAACAAAGAGCTGCAATGGTACCGATGGTTTTCGAAGAGGATTTGCCAAACCTTTACTGGGATGACCCCATTAAGCCATCTAATTTAGATTTTACTTCACCATTGTGTAGTAAATTTTGCTGTTGCTCTGAATGGTGCTCAATCTATGCCTTCTACAATGCCAATCCAATTGTTCGTTTCGTTGTAGGACAAAATCAAAATTTTTTTCTTGTTCCTGATACTCTCATCATACCCTACCATTTTAAATCGATTTGTACATTAATCAATTTGAAAAATTTCTACTGTCCCAGCATGTTTGCGTCTATTCTTCGTGCTGTTTACTTTTACATCAACTCAAGTTTGAAAGCTCGAGCTGGCCATAATGAAGAAGCCTTTTGGAGAAACAAAGGAGCCCGCATTTTGGCCGAAGGATACTGGCTTCTAAGAGACTGGTTCGTTCGTCCTGAAAGTTTCACTTTATCCAAACATCCTTTTGATGACTATCCCGATTCAGTTAAATACTTTGCTGATTCATTAACATGGCTATCAAAGAATCTGAAAAATATCTCGGACATGAAGTTAAATACAATTTTGGAAACAGTGAAATCTAAAACAGGCCGGAACAAAAAGTAAAGATACATTCTGTTATTAGTCTTCGCTTCTTCATTGATCAAACAATTTCAATTGAACTGAAAGCGTCAACTCAACATGGATCCAAAGTGAAAGTGGATGGACTCTGTTACTTATAAGAATTTGATTTTTACGAATATAATCAGCAGTAAATTTTATTTACTGATTGGTGTGAAATCACTTTACTAAATTAAATTAACTTGTCAGAAGAAGATTGTTTTTTAATGTGTGATTCCATAAAATATAGTAAATGTGCGAGTTGAGCTCAGTGTGAAGTTCATTAAAATTTGATTTCCTTTAGTTAGCCTTTCTAAATCATCATCATTATAATCAACATTTAACCTGATTTTGATTCTTGTCTGGTGGAAAGATGATCACTCTGTAACCATTACCAATCGAGTGAAAAACACGATTCTTTGTATCAAATAATTCGGAAGAAAAACGAAAAAGAAAAGCCTTAAGTTAGATGATAATCATCTTTATTAATTTAGGCTCAATAATGACGATAACCATTTGATTTATCAAACAAGTAAGTCAGAAAAACAAAAAATCGACTCAATTTGCGACTTCAAAGTTGAAACTAAATTTTAACTTATGATGTTAAATCATGTGAACCACATTGATTTATAACTTAATCATCATGATCATCTTTCACAATCATTTTAATCATTTTTCATTTCCATCCAATAATACATCTTTACTCTTTCAATTAAAACACGCGAATAAGATACAATTTGATTAACCTTTAAGGCTAATGATTGGCCTTAAAGTAAAGCAAATTTAACTTCAATGAAAGGTTGAAGCATTTGCTCTTAAATTGCTATACCTTTTAACAGTGACAATCATGATGAATAATTAGATTGATTGTTTCATCAATAGATGAGTGGAAAATTTTCAAGCGAAAAACAAAAACACAAATTGTCGAACATTAATTTTTAAAGTTGGCTTCTTATAATGTTCAGGCCAAATGTAACTTGATGAGCTTGTCGATGATAATGATGATAATCTTAATCTACCTTTAGAGGATTTATTGGTCAAGGAAAAATGAAGAAAGCTTTCGCTATTAATTGAAAGTGATTTATAAACGGAACTGATCAACTTCCTTGGTTATTGATGATGCAAAATTTTCCATCAACATAGATGATCTTGTCCGTTTTAAGATAACCTTTCATGTTACATCTAATTATCTGGTCATCTAATGAGCAAACAAGAGTAGGACCTAATCTAACTGGTGTCAGATTGACCCTCAAGGCTTGACCCTAATACAGTATTACTTAAAACGAATGGTCAAATGTTCAAGCCAAAGGTTAGATCATCATTATCTTCACTATAATTCCTATCAATCTTGATAAATACACACGGAGTAAAAGGTCAATTCATGGGCAAGTCTCAATTTTTATCGACCAGTGTTGATAAAAAAGGTCATGGTTAAGTTTAATTATTTTTTTGTTCAGTGCAATGTTTTATTGTATTATTATCATTGTGGTAAGTCAGTCTTATTATTCAATTTTTTAATTGTCCCTAAAATATTTGTTTATCTTTTTAAATATCTCACTTTACCTGAATTTAAGACTATTTTTGTGAAATCGGAAGACCAACAATCAATAAATGAGACTAAAAGATGGTTAAAGGTGAAATGATATAACGACTGGAACTGGAAAGGTTTAAGCTGTTCTATCAAAGGTAATTTTTATATCAACAGCTAACATTTGGTGTCTTATTTGTATTAATATTAATATTTTGCTATTTTTCAGGTGGTTCAATGTTTTTTGCTCAACTGCGAATTCATTATTTCATGATAACAAAGTTTATTACAAATGGTGCAAGGTCAAAAACTAAAGCAAATAATATTGATGAATATCGCTGGGTCAACGTTTAAGTCTCACAATTACCGGTTAGTATGGGATGGTTTCTTTAAATGATGATGATTTCAATTTTATTAATGCTGATAATAAGTGAGAGTTAAAATCTGGTTTAAGGCCTAACCAGGGAAAGTGGAATATGTCGGATTCAAGATGAGCCTGTAAGAAGGAGGAGGCCGAAATAAATGTCCAAACTTGATGATAAACCGTAATCTGGAAAGAAGAGAAAGGAAAAAATATGTTGATTATTATCAGCTAATTATCATTAAGAAAGCTTGTTAATCTGTTCCTTGTTTGGCCTGAATAGTATTATATTGGTAAAATAATTGAGCTCATTTTTTTGCTTTAATATCAAGTTTGCGATGAATTATTATTATTATTATCATCATTTGGACATTTGGTCCAGTAATTTTGCAAGGTCGACCTTTTCGTCTCATATACAAAGAGGAATCGACAGTTGATGCCAAATCATTTGTAGATTGTTGCTCGATTGAGAGAAGTGATTTAAAAAATTTCAAACTTTTTTTATTTTGCTTCTAACACTTAACAAATTTAATCATGATTAAAGTAAGTATGCTAATTTGTTGATCTTGAAGATTTATCTAAATATTAGGCCTCAATGTAAAGATTTTCCCTAAAGAAAGTGACTCGACTCGGAATACCATGGATGTGCTTATTTTTACATTGGATTATTATTCAATTATCCCTTTAGTCTTGTTTTGTTTTTAAATTGTTTTCACCGTTACATCATTATCATCTTTACCATCTTAATCATCATAATGTTTTTTATCGCCATTCTTTCTTCCTTTTCTGTTAAATGTTCTTAGATATTATGGATCTTGCCTTTAGTGGGCATCGTCTTAGCAGATTACGGGCCACCACCAGCCCAATATCATCCACCACCTCCACCTTCATATACTAGATATGAACCGGATTATCCTCGATCAGATCATTACCGACCGTCATCATACAAATCATACAAGACTCACCATCCTGAACCTTACCACCCTCATGGCTACTCTCATGGATATACTCATGGATACTCTCATAATTATCATCCAAAGCCATATACTTCAAGACCCTACAAATACGAATATAAACCCGACTACAAACCACATTACAAACCTGACTACAAACCCGACTATAATTCTGATTATAAGCCTGATTATAAACCTGAGTACAAACCCGAGTACAAACCTGAGTACAAACCTGAGTATAAACACGAGTACAAACACGATTACAAACCACACTACAAACCCGACTATAAGCCCGATTATAAACCTGAGTATAAACCCGAGTACAAACATGAGTACAAACATGAATACAAATCAGAACACAAACAACCATACAATTACGGTTATCAAGTAGATGATGGATTCGGAAATGTTCAACACCAAGAAGAGAGAGGAGATGATTATGAAACCCGAGTACAAACATGAGTACAAACATGAATACAAATCAGAACACAAACAACCATACAATTACGGTTATCAAGTAGATGATAATCCTATTTTGTCACAAAAAAATATTATAAAAGCAATCTTTAACGTAAATTGTTCAAATTTACTGGTGTCCTTAATACCAAGAAACGCAGTGTACTTCAAATAAGCTGAAAACATAATGATTCAAAAGTTATTTTATTACAACTTTATTTGAATTTCTGATTAGTTCTGAATATAACGCATTTAGTATTTAGAATTAACGTAATTTCAGTTAGCATGTTTTAAAGCACCATTAGTTAGATTATGTTAATTAGCGATGCTCATCGCTTATTTAATATTCAAAAGTGTTTCATCTTCTTATTCTTGAGCCAGAAAATTCTAACGTTCAACTTTAAAATTGTAATTATTAATTTGAACATTCAGTCTCTAAAAATCTCAATCAAACACAGATTTTTATACATTTTGTATTACTTTTTAAAATTATTAACAATTCATGTCTCTAATCCAATCTTAGATACACTGATGCTCACGGAGTTTATAGAGTGGTCGATTATGTTGCTGATGAGTATGGTTTCAGAGCAAACATTCGTACTAATGAACCTGGAGTAGTTAAGAAGCAGTCTGCTTCTGTTAACCTCGAAGTCAACGACCCACCAAAGGGTCTCCCAAAGGCTAGTTATGAACCCAATTACAAAGCTGAATACGGACAAAGCTATAAAACAGATCACAAGCCCTACCATCCTGAATATAAATCACCAAGTTATCGACCAGAGTATGATTCAAAGTCCTACGACCATGATTATCCAGAGCCTGCATACAAACCCGCCAGTCATCATAAGCCCCATTATTATCCAACAAATGGTTACACTGGAACCTATGGTCCATCTTATGGTACTCCTTACTATCGCCCATCAAATTATAAGACTGACTATGTAAAAGAACCTTACACACCAGCTTACAACTATAAAATCATCCGACCCGATTATTAATCAAGTAAACAAGAAGCTACCATTTATGAGTTATATAATTCACGAATAAGCATTGAGCTGATGTCCATTATTAAGTTGAATTAATGATGAGATGCGATTCTGATACCTGATTTGAAGTTCATTGTAATATAAACCATTTCATCAATATTTTTATTAAAAAATCAAATTACATTTTACATTAACTTTATTGGTTATCCTCTAAAGTGGATGTTAAGAAGCCAGCAACGATTATGAATACTGATCGCAAATATGGAGGAAATTTCAATTCTTAAAATCGACGTTTTACCATTCAAAATAAAATCACTATTTCTGACTCTACTTTTTGGTTCCTTCATCTTGATAATATTAAAAATTTATATCATTCTTTTTATGACCTGTGAATAAAAACAAATGTCTTCAATCTTTTTGAAAGCAAAACACATTTTCCCCAAATCGCCCGAAAAAAACTTACATTTAAATGGAAATAAGAAGCCTTGATCGGCCCATTTTGTTATCCATAAAGCCAATAAACAATTTTTATTAAAACTGCTCTATTTATTTCTTAATTAATTATACTAATCCTGTTTCAAGATGCTATCAGCATTAACAAAGAAAGCTTTTGTGTGTTTAGTCATTGAGTAATTCAAAACTTTATTCAATGTTGAATGTTGTCTTCTGATCAATCCAAACTGGATCCAGTAGCTTAATAGGAATCGAGTTTCTGATTTGTACTAGAAGAAGAAACAGAAAACTGTTTTTTATTTAATTTTTGCTCTACCGCGATTCAGCCTCCAGATTTTTCCATTGATGCTCAACAAATCTGTTTTATACAACCGCAATTGGATATGATTATTGTGAACCATTTGATTATCTAAAGAGGATTTATCTGACGCAGGCCAATTAGTAATTACTAATCAGCTTTATTAAATAGAAACTGAAGATTCATATGATAATGGTTACAGTGAAAAATAACAATGATGCAACAGGATTTTAATTATTCCTTATTTGGCTCACTATTGCTGCTAAACATTGTCATTATTAGATCAGATAATTAGAAATAAATCAACTTCAAGTTATATAATTGACCAGTTACAGGCTGACTTGAACGTTGTGAGAGTATAGATTAAATATTTTCTCAATTCTTGACCAATGTTTAATAATCACCTAAAATATTTCATTTTGAAGAAAATATTTATTTGATTGAACCGATAAAGAAAAAATAGATTAAAATGATCTCATAAAATGTGCAATAGCAAGCAAAGCAAAGTGAATAAACAAAAATTACAACGTAGCTCAATTGATAAGCCAATCAAAGGAGAAATCAATTTTTATAACACTCATTCTTTTGCAAAATTAAATCGAAGCGAACTTTTTATTGGCAATAATAAAATTAGCTCAAAATCATTGGGAGCATGTAATGAGCATTTAACTTTTTTTTCACTTCTTATAGCAACAGTTTAAAGGATAAATTTCAAGAGACAGAAAATTTTTTTCATGTTTGGTGGTAATGCGTTGAAGATGATGATGGTTTTTGATGTTTTTATCTTGCGCAATTTCTAGCTCGTTTGGACGAACGTGTTACCATTTTATTTGGTTGATGGATTGTTGATTGGTAACAGACGATATTGATAATGTTTTAAATGCTTATGATTGTTTACACTCTTGAGGGTTTTCACCTTGACCACGCTTTTTACGAGGTTTACGCTCTTTTTTTTCTGGAGCATTATCACCATCCTCATCTTCATCGTCGTCGTCATCTTCTTCATCGGACTCATATTCTTCTTCTGACTCTTCTTCTTCATCATCATAATCATCATCGATCAAAGCTTCACCGGTGAAATAAAGAACAGCACGTGGTACAAGACGATGCCTAATGATTTCTCCAATTTCAAAGTCTGCCTGAAGAATTTCTTGAGTAGTTTCATCAATATCTTCTTCGTTTTCTGGGACTGTTGAAATAAAAACGAACAGTTAAATTAGTGTTTAAAATGTATTCAAAAAATTAAACAAATTAAAAAAAGCAACTTACTATCAGGAGGAGTGAAAAAGTTGAAAAATGAGTCTGATTCAACTTCTTTAGGGACAGTTCGGGTTGATCCTTTGGCTTTATGCTTTTGCTTCTTCATAACAGTCTTTATTGTAACATTTTTACCTTGATTCCAGTTTATTTTGCAGCTGAAACACAAGATAATCACATGGTTAGAAAGCATGCCACGAGTTAGAGAAAACGTTTTATTTGAATATTACTCAAGGTCAGTTAACTTACCCAATGGCTTTAGAAATCTCTGGCCCTTCAAATGAGAAAGGGTCATCCTCATCAGGGGCACACTTTAGTTCATAAGTTTTTGTCAAAATAGTATTGGTAAAGAATTCATTGGGACTAAAGTGGAATTCTAACGTGAAACTCTAAAAAGATGAAGCAAAAAATTAGTATGAAACTAATCGAAGTTGAAGATAGTGAATTGATCAACTGTTACTTACCATAGGTTTGTCAGTCATTTTGATCTTAATATCAGTTAAATGTTTAAGAATAGGCTCATCATGATCTTGAATATTCTCAGCGATACATTCAACATTTTTGAAGATAGTAAGCCAAAATTCGGGAATACCTTTGGTATCGTCTTCTTCGGCTGGTTCGTCCGTCTTCATCTTCTCCTCCAAATCTTTAGACAGCTTCTTCTCTTTATCACCGTCACTTCCTTCTTCACCTTCTTTCTTCTCGTCATCTTCCTCTTCAGAATCAGATGGGAAATCACATTCCTCATCATTAGGCTCGTACACGGCGTTAACAATTTCGGATCGTTTGCTCATTAGACCTTGATACATAGCATTATATTTACACTCGATGGCATGCATCTCCATGTGGAATTGAGATTCCATCTTAAGAAAATCAACTTGAAGCTTTTTCAAGGCTTTAACCCTTCTTTTCACAGACTTAGGTAAGGTATCGTAATAACCGGACATGATACCAACCATTCCAGCAAGCTTGGATTGCATTAAAGCCAAAGCTTCAGGATCATTGAGGACTTCAGAACTATTCATTGTTAATTTCAATTCTCAAGATCGTGGTCACTGACTAAATAAAATAACTAATGATGGCAAGATATAATTAATTGTTCACAAATTATTACGAGACAATCGAGTAGAGAAACAAAAAATGCTTTAAAAAGAAATAGAAAACGTCTCTGCTTAAAACCATGCGTTTTAATGCTGCCATGCTGAAAAGTGCCATCTAGAGAAAAGACAAATAACTAAATTTGCCGTTTTCTTGTAAATTTGTATTTCCCACTGGTAGCGCAACCATAGTTACTAACGAGCTTTCCCACAATAAATTGTAAACGAGAATTACATTGAAGCTGTTGGTTGATGTTGATTAGGTTCAAGAATTTTAAATAAGCTTGATCGTTTTTCCTTGATGCGCTGATCATGAAATGATGTCTGCCAAAAGATCACAGAGTTAATTAGATTGGTTAAAGATTTTAATCGATAAAAATACGTTTAAATCTTTAGTTTATGATAATCTGTTACGTCGACTTCATGATTCTTGCATGTACAATTTCAATACAAACAACAAATAGTTATTACTTTAACTAATCAATTGAATTGGCTTTCTCTGGTTCGAAGCTTCTTCTGGTTTTCTCGTAGTGAATTGGTAGACAACATTTAATTAGGATTGTATGCTGATCATTATTATATAATCACTTATAATTATTAAATATCATTAATGAGCTCCTTTGTTAGCTCAACAAGTGTTTTTCCAATAATTGATACTCATTATTCTCAGTTTTTAGTTTATTATTCATTTATATTTTCTTTGTGTCTAGACTGTTCTTTGTCATTTGAGTGATTTATTTCAGTTCAACAGGTGAACCAACAAAATATGTTTAGGACTAATAAGCTAAAATTTACAGGCTAAAAGGTCTTACTTAAAACCATGTTATTCCCGGTCGTTCCTCAGGTTAAATTATTGCTCCTAAATACGCCAATGAATCTGGAAGCATACGATTTTACTTTTTTTAAACAAATTTCTTAAATCATACAATGACAAAATCTTTAAATAGTTATTAAAAACTTGTTATTAATGATATGAATTTATGTAAACTCGTGTATTTATACAGTAAAAGTAAAGGTGAACATATAATTATAACATTTGAAAAATGACCAGACATAAAAGAAATTGATTCTATCTAATTGTAATCATGTAAACTAAGTTATAAATTTCAATAGACAATGAAATTAACTTACATCATAAATTACAAAAAGAGAACATGTTTATTAGATAGAAAAGAGGGTAAAAAGAAGAGGAAGTTGAAAGTTACTTTGTTGCCTTTTTGAAAAGCCTCACAAGTAATTCCCAGAAATCCTTGTTGAATGAGCTCATCAATTTGAATTCGCTTCGGAAGTAAAGACAATTGAGTTTGTTAGTTGTGTGCCATTAATGGTTGATTTACATTTTTGGTATTTTCCTACGATTATCATGTTTGTCTTGTAGTGTCTTTATAATTGCTAATAGCTCATATTTACTAATGATGGATCCATTGGAACATTTTCTTTGTGCTCAATAAATTAGAAAAAAAATCAGTTGAATAGTTCAGAGTGCAGTGAGAAGTTTCGTGAGAATTGACCGGCTAATATTGGATAATGAAGCACATCTTATTCGTTTGTTCTGTTATGCTTTTAGACATGATGCTTATAAGCTGGATCAACATTGGTAACATCCAAAGAAACTACATTTTAACCTGTTTTTTCTGTTTACTCTTTACCATAAAATACCATTGCTTCGTGGACCTAATTTGAATAATTGTATAAGAGCAATGTATCTCTTTTGACGTTTCCTTAGACCAATTGTTGCTATAACTTGAAATTTCATAGAATTCATAGTGATTAGTCGTCGAAATGGTTCCAATGTGAAAAGAACTTTCATGTTCATATGTGTATCGACACAGTAAATCTACTGATTATATGCACCGTTATTATGACCTTTGAATGTATGGCCTGTCATTGTTGACATACTTCGATTACTTAAAGATGGTGAATTTGATCCATGATTAGTTGTTATAAAATGATGCTGATTTAATATGTAAGGTGTTTGATTTTGATGTCCATTAAAATGTTGTTGAATTGTTTGATGATTCATAACTGGAAATTGTTGTTGCGAAATTAAAGGTGACCCGCTATCTTTATTTTGTCGTACATTTGTTGTTATTCCGTAATGTTGAGACAGTGAAGATGATGAATGTGGCGATGTTGATGACTGGAGTAGATGATGAAGATTTAAATTATTATTAGACATGTTTCTTCCTTCTCTTCCATCTCCTCCAATTCCTCCTGATGTTGAACGAGATCCTAAAGTTAATGAAAGTTTATGTTGATTGTGAAGTTGCTGTTGTTGATGATGCTGTTGATGCTGATGATTATGGTTATGATGATGAGGTAGAGTTGAGCCCATTAAATTGATACCAGAATGACTAGATGAATGACTACTAGCTGAAGGTAATGTAGTTGATGCAATGGTGTTACTGTAAACTGCTTTCCAATTTCTCAATCTTTGGTGAAGTTGACTAAAAGAAGGTCTTTGTGCTGGATTTTCAGTCCAACATTGATTCATTAGAGAATAAATGTTTGGTGGACATTCAGATGGACAGGGTAATAAATGACGACCTCTTATCATATCAATTACTTGTTGATTTGTATAACCATAATAAGGTTGTAATCCATATGAGAATATTTCCCAAAGTAAAACACCAAATGACCATACATCTGATTCAGTTGTAAATTTACCATATAAAATTGATTCAGGTGGCATCCAACGAACTGGTAATAAAGATTTTGAATGAACACGATAATAATCCGATGCATAAATATCACGAGATAAACCAAAATCAGATATTTTTACAGTTAAATGGTCAGAAACAAGACAATTTCGAGCTGCTAAATCTCGATGAACATAATGATGACTTCCAAGATATTCCATACCAGCACCAATTTGAGTTGAAATATGAAGAAAATCATTTATATCTAAAACTCGAGGTCTAAATAGATATCCAAAAATTGACAAAAAAAGGAGAAAGAGAAAGTATAATTAATATCTTTACTTGATGAAGAAAACTGAATAAAAAATCAATAAAATACCTTGTTCCATCTTTATTAACCATTTCACTACCTGGAGAATGAGTGATCAAATATTCATGAAGATCACCTTCTGACATAAATTCAAACATCATACACATTGGTTCCTCTTTAAAACAAACACCAAGAAGACAAACAATATTTGGATGAATTAAATCTGCCATTAAATCAGCTTCACGTTGAAAATCTTGTCGAGTTTTCATATTAGCATCTTCTTTCAATGTTTTTATGGCAATAGGTACAGTATCATTAAGTGACATAATCAATTCACCTCGATACACTTTACCAAAAGCTCCTTCACCTAAGACTTCAATAAATTTTAAACAAGATAATGGATATTCTGTTGCATGTGATTGCTTTTTAGGTAATAATGAGTTCATTTCAACTGATCCACTTCCACCAACACCGTTTCGACTTGATTGTAAATTTGATATTGAAGATTCACTTTGACGTCCAGAAGCAAATTGAGGACCAGAAGATTTAGATCGAGGTTTACGTCGAAGGCAACATAAAGCTAATAAAAGTATAAACAGGACTAGGGCACCAAGACTTGGAACAACAATGTAAACCCAAAAATTGTCAACTGTAAATAAAATAAAAAAAATGGATAAATATTAAAACAATAATCTTAAATAACAATTCGCTTTTTTATACAATTTCTGAATTTTCACGGTATGACACATCGTATAATTGAATCTGTCTACAATTTGAAATTCGGATGCTAACAGTTCGAAAATGATTGACTACAGTATTGATGAAGCAAAGATAAATCATCCAAGAATGATTAAGTAGCCAATATCTTTTTTTGACAAGTATTACATAGTGTGACAAGTAGTCCTGCAACAGTGAGTAACATCTAAATTCAGTAGCAATCTAAAGAAACAATTCATCAATTTGACGTTGCATGTTACTGTGGTCAGTTGCAATACATATCTATGATGAATGAATAAACATAAACATTCAGATTGTTGCACTTTAAATTGAGTTAACATTTTTCAGCAATTTGCAAGATTAATTGATTGGACGGAAATGTAATAAAGAGTTTTCCTCCCGTTGAGAGTGATAGTAATGACAAATATTTGAAGGTTCATACTATGTCATTTTGAATAAGATGAAACCAAAAAAAGGAGAATGAAGGAAACCAAAGAATGGTTCAAGCTAAACAAGAAAAACGGAAATTGGAGGAAATTGTTGACAAGCCTTCACAAGCAATAACCATAACATAATCATAATGTTTACTTTAGATGAAATACTTTTCGCTGATGCTTTCAGATGAAAAAAATGTTATCGCGGGTTCATCTAACCGTTTAGATTGACTAATAAGAAGACCTACAAAATGACCAATTATTCAATATAAAAGACCATGAAAATAACGTGCCTAATGATTAACATTCGAAGCACATATTATGAGAAATAACAAATGCTATTTGAAGCCAATTTATGTTGCATAGTAACATTGTACTTACCACATTTAGGTACATCACAATGAACCTTTTTCATTTCTGGATCACGAATAAAACACCAAGGTTGAGATTCCATTCCACCAGGATTTCGACAATAATTATGTCCACCAATAAGCTCAGGATAATCAGCAGTCTTATAAAAAACTTGTTGATGCCAAGGAGCACAATCAACTCCAGTTACTGTTCGTGATGTAGTTCCTCGATAATTTTCCCCATTATCTTGATAACATGTATCATCTAGTAAATAATGATAGATAATATGAAATAGATCATTTATAATAATGATTTATAATTATTAGATAATTTTTATATTAGAAAAGGAAGTATCCCAAATTTTTTAGAAAATTGTTGAATTCAAGCGTTTTAATTATAGCATAAATGTATGCACTAACATTAATGGCGACAAAGTAACAATGGTTGAAATATTTAACTGACAATTGATTTTGAGTTAAGTTGAAACAAACATTAATGAAGTTGCATTTCATTCAATTTTTGTTCGGCTTTTGAATCGACATGCAGTTTGATTAGCTTAGTAATCTCATTATGATTCGCAAACTATCTGTCTTGAGAAATTGTCTGCATTTCAAGATGATTCATATTGATGCTACAACTATTTTTATTATACGAAAATGTGAAAATCCCTGAATCTAATAAACGACGTTAGCTGGCGAAACAAGAGGAAAAATACGCATTCCTCTGATTTTTATCCTGTACGAGTTGAGCATAAAGAACCAAAAATATCGTAGAAGTTTAGGGTACTTCTCTTGAATGATAAATAGATCATGACAGCATACCTTGGACGACTTGGACAACATTTGGTACTCCTAATCGTACACAATCAGCACTTTCTATTGAGCCTGATGGTGCCAATTTTTCACAAGCAGGCAATAAATTTGCTTGACCAATTAAGGGATGGCGCTTAGCAATGGTATACTCTAAGTGACATATTTGATGTTCCAACATTTCACATTCATCTCGACAAACCTGCAATATTAGAAAAATACAAAATTTTAGTCAAGATACATACATGTATAACTTAATGTTAGAAATTAACAGAATCTAAAACTAGATTGCATTATTAAATAACATCTTATGAAAACAATTGAGTGTTATCAAAGCTTGTTTTGGGAAATAGCGGTAATTAAGGAATGATTAAAATTAAAAATGGTTTTTCATCTTTAATTATAATTAACTGAGCGATATAATGGTAATCAATTGTTCGAAACTCAGCTTACCTGTCTTGGTTTAGGTTGAGGTAGATCTTGATTACAAAGTGGAAATATTGAAAAACACAGTGAGGGGATGGCAAATCGATGACACTGCAGTGATACATCACGAGAAGATTTGATCACAGTGAAAACTCCGCCAATTTTTTGTTCCATCAAATCTTGAATCCCTTCAGATTCGACATAGATTGTTTGATTTCCAATGAGCTGGGAACAAACGGTTCCTCGATAAGGTTCACAGAAACCAGATTTCATTTTATCAACACTGTCGTTTTTATCACTGAAACCAGGAATATCTCTACAGAGTGAAAAAAAGATTGATCGATTAATGCATTAATGCAACTACAAATGCAAATGCAAATGGTAACTCGAAAAATGCTTGAAAACCTACAAATTGCTATTCATTGGTTTTGGTTGAATTTGTTATCCGTTAGATAATGTAAAATTGATCATTTGGTTCACATTTTGTCAAAAAAATTATTGAATAACATAAGTCGATGTATTTCAGCGCTGAACAAGTCAAACAAACAGTTAACTGTAAATTACTCGGATAATCAAAATCAACATTAAAAAGAAACAGTTTAGACAATTGTGATCAAAATGGCGTCAAAATAGCCTATGGAAGCCAAAACTAGGCGGAGTAATGAACTCTATTGAAAAAAGGACCAGAACACAACGCCATCTGGAGAGATAAATATCGCTTTTAATCAACAATCCAAAAAATAGACGATTAACTAATAACTTAATAACTAATGGTCATTGTCTCATCATAACAATATTATCGATCAAATAAGAAGACAATAAACTGCGAAATAAACAAAGCTCGAGTTCAATCAATTGTTATCTAATTTAAAGCTGGATTCATTTGCTTGGACCAATCTTGATAAGCTACAAAAAATGCATTGCACTAACAATGAGGTTCGTGACACAGGATAAGCTTTGACCTTTAATGTTGACCTCAAATTAGCTGTTATACTCGAGTAATCAAACCAGCTGGTTGGGTTATAATTGAACCCAAGTATAACATAGAGATGAAGCTTATCATAATTTGATCTCGAGTAAAATTGGACAACAAATGTTGAATAACTGTTGATTGTTGAACCAAAGGTTGAAAGTAAAAGCAAATACAATTATGTTGCTGAGTGAAGCCATTAAAAGATGCTACCTGAGTCTTGATCAACATTTAAACACTAATTGTATTAACAAATGCGAAACAATTAAAATATTAATCAAATAATTGTCTTTCCTCATCACACTAAACCCAATTTTAGCTTCAATTTTCATCCTTTTCATCCTCATCATTTTGTATCTCCTTCATCACTTTATAAATAATGTACTTTTATAATGTTTATTTATTAATCATCTCTGGTTTCTTCCCATCATCATCTTCATCATCCTCATCAGTCTGTCAGTTTCCCACTATTTTTTGGGTTCCTTGTAATTTAATTTAATCATAACCGAACACTTCTGGTAACTTTCAATGTAAACACATACACTAACCATAAATTATTCAACAAGGGTTGATAAAAGGGAAACTCTGATAACAATGAAACTATTATGATCGCCAATCAACAATTTATTAAATTGTTCCTAAATCTCCGAATCGAAACATAACCTTAAGCAAACGATTATCACAATTGATGTTCAACATTTGCTTAGCCATCTCAACCGTTGACTGTATCAATGCATCTGAACAGCATTTATCAAGACGTTTCTCCTGTTAAAATGGTTGAAATTGAAAATTTGGGAAGCAAAAAATCAACTTGATTTATATTGGAATTAATATTTCCTCCAAATAATCTTATCAATCATCAATTTTGTGTCAAACCTTAGATTTAAGATAATTTATTAGCATTCGCTGAGACGTGGGTTTACAGCTTAATCATGGTTAAGATATTTACATCTTCTAGTGTGAGAAACTTAATTCAAACCAACATTGTACATTGTTACATTATTAAATATTGCTGTTGATTAAACTGACAAAACTAATGTGTCTGTTGAACTTCATGATCAATTCACAGACTTTGGAATCAAAAATGCCATCTACTGATCACTATAAGAGCTAAATTTGATCCAGTTAAAGACAATTGAATTGATAGTATTTTAGTAATCATATCTTAATTGAGTCAGATAAATGGTTGAATGTTTCGATTTACTGACATTAATTTTCCAAGAGATGAAAAATCAGACTTCATCTCAAGATGAGAATCAAAATCATTGAAAATCTAACCCAAGGCTAAGAAAATAATTGCTGAATTGTTTTACTAATTGATGAAGTTAAATCTCATTTCAAAAGCAAAATTTAAATAATCATCAGCTCTTATTGAATGCTGGTTATCTTGTTTTCCCATAAGAAATGACCTTTTTGTGTACATTTTTGGTACATTGTTACATTTAAGAACCAATATTTGGATATTTTCATCTTTATTGCCATTCCTGTTTGGATAAGATTTTATCTTTACTCTCTGCTATAAAACAGATTATGTTCAATCTATTGTTTAACGCAAGTATAGCCCCAAATATTGAATCAAAATGAATAATTGAATTGAGTGAATCAATCATGAGAGCTTCCTTAATTCTGTTCAGATCTTTCTTGGCTAAGAAGTAATCATTTACCAATTTGACTGATGGATCACAAAAATTTTACTCCTTTCCTTTAAAATAGCCAATTTTTAAGCTTTTTAGGTCAACTTTCGAGGATATTTTTGATCATATTTACATCCTTTTTTGCTTCAAATATAAAAATATAATTTGGTCATCTATCAAAAAACTCGTTACCATTGTAAGTCCATCGTAAAGTTCAAAGAGTAAAAGGAGTAATAATCAATCCATTCGTCGAGTTACATGCTGTTTGGTTATAATTTTTTCATAAAGAAATATTAAACTTCAGAAAATGATTAGATTCTGGTTAATTGTTATTTTTTGTCTATGATAGAGGAAGCAAGTCAATGTCGGTTGCTGCAATTATTATTGATGAATCCGTATTATTTAACAGGCCAAGAATGTTGTTAATACCGCAATCATTGTAACTGTTAGTACGATATGGAGATTTTTACATGCATAATGATAATAATTGTTAATCAGTTAAAACAAAATCGAGTTTAATTTGATTATCCATTCGAAATAACTTCATATTTGATTATTTCAGTTCATCTGGTAATTGAACAAATAATTGCTAAATTATTATTGTGTATTGTTGTCGATAGATGGCATTGGGATAAGGACAGAAAAAACTTAAATTTGTAATTTTTTGTGCATAAAATTTGTAAAAGTACATTTCATTTATTAGTTTTGCAACAATTTAATTTTCATCTCAGCTATTTGATTAATCTGTGGGTGGTTCAGATGTGTGACAAATGAACACTTTAAAGGTAAAATCATCGAAACTATCTCAAACTAAACAAAATGCTTTACTTTTGTGTCTTTATTTGCTACAAGTCAATCAAATGACAAAGTCAAGTAACTTATTTGTTAGCGACTAAACAAAATGAAGACTTAAATTTTGTATTTGGATTTTTGTTTAGAGTAATTCAACAATTGATTGATTGTTTGATTGATTTAAGTACAATTGTAAAGTTGAATTCAAATTAGATTTCACTGTCAAATCAAATTTTCGTTGAAAAACAGGCGGATGAAGGATAAATAAGGAAAGGCGAGTTACAACTCTCCATATGTTTGAAAATTGATGATTCTCAATCTTCTCTTCTTTCTCTTCACTTTTCATCTTCTCATCTTTCTCAGTTTTCTTGCCTCTCTTTCTCCCTCTCTTTGCTCTTTGCTCTTACTTTATCCTCCTTAAGTCAAGTTATTAGCCACAGTATAAGATGATTTTTAGTTTTCAATTTGGTTCAACTCAAGAAACTCAGCTAAACATAGCGTCATGTAAACATTGGCCTTTCCTAACTTACGTCTTCACGTTTATTCAACTGCCTGTGCCTAATTGATCAACACAATGATTACAATTTGAATTACTTTATTATTTACTTTTTGCATTATAATCATCTCAAGTTTAATTTTGCTTCATCAAAATGGATTAGTGCTATTGGTTCCAGTAAATTCAACAATCAAAGATGATAACATTTTTACATTCACTTTTCACCAATGATTATTACTGTGTTTACTGTTGATATTGTGAATATTATGGAAACCATTTCAATTTGTTCAACCACCAAATGTCGTTCAGTGACCATTTAAATCAGTTTTTGTTATATGTGATTACCAGTTAATCAAATTCAAATGGTTCCAAGTGATTTATTTCATATTACATTGTTTCTAGCAATAACAAGTCTTTCAACATTTGCCCGAGCGGTAAGTAACTTATGAAAATAATTCAATCCAATACTTAAATTGTTTTTTGAGTCGACAATCCAAGATTAATCTTAACCATGATTAATTAAATTGATACAATCATGATGGGTTAATAATCTAGTCCAATCTTAACTAGATCACCATTTTCAGGCTAAAATGCAGTTTATCAAACCACAGTTTATGTTTACCAGTAAACCCAGGTTAATCATGATTAAAGTGACTTTATTTTTATAATCTTCTCCATCTGATTTAAATTGTCGCTCATTTGTATTGTAAAATCAGGTTTAATCAACTTAATCATTTCAAGTTTTAATTTGCCGGAGTTTTCAAGCATCAACTTGTTGAATATGGATTTAGATTATGTGAACTCACTTGTTTTTACCGGTAAACCAATATTAACCAGAAATTAAATTTCAACAGCAAAATGGGGAAAAGACTAAAATTTGTTGATAGCTAATCATTTGAAGTACCAGTTTCAATATGCAAGCTTGACTGATGGCTCAAGATTCAAATATTGATTAAACTGTAGATGATTTTGAGTGATTGAAAGCTCCTAAAATGTGGATAAGACTGTAAAAACGTGTTGATAATAATGCAACTGTTGGTGATTGGTATTGGTAAAATATTTAACCAGAAACAAGAAAACCAAATATTGAAAGGAAAAGGAAAACCTTGAACGATGAAATTTGATTATACCAATGGCTTTTGGTTGTTAGGCCAAAAACAGCCACGGAGTAAAGTCTCTCGTCTTGTTAGCTTGTAGTCTTACCAGCAGTGGGTCCATAGTTTGACAGTGAACCAAACATTGCCTTATAAACATTAATTAACAATTTAAAACCCATACAAAAGATATGAGCAAGTCTTTCAACTGATAAGCCTAAACTCAACTCAAGCGAGGTCAACTCACCAGAGGTTTTCACTGTTTATTATGGTGTTACAGACCATGATAAGTTGGAAACTTTGAATGGCTTTTTTCAAGCTTTGCCTTTTTGCTTTGAATAAGCAAAACAGTTAACGGTCTGTTTGAATGATGAAGATGGTAAACAGAAACAAGAAGAAGAGAAGAGAAGAGAAGATGATGAAGGAAGATAAAAAAAGAGTCTCATAAGGATCAAGTTTAACTTTTTCTTTCTGGACTCAAATCAAAAATAAACAAGAGATGAAATGAGATGAAAAAGAGGAAGTTTGGTTGAAAGATGAAGCTGGTCATTGAGCTTTTTAAAGACAAATGGATTTCAATTTTTGGTCTAATCTTGAATTACAAATGACATGTTGTACTAATTAATTTTAATTATCATCAATTGACTATTCTTTTTTTGACGCTGGTTAACATGTTTGAGAATGTTAAATTCAAATATTTGAGTGCAAAAATTGGAGTTGAATCATTATAACATTGACTCAGAAGCAGTTTCTCGCTTGGTTTTTCATTTTACTGTTTCAGTCACTTTAACTCATTTTGCTGAATTTATTTTAATTATCTGTGAATGGTAAATATCATAAATCATTTAATAATTATTTTAAGTTTTACTGTTGGTTACATAATTTCAGTGATTATTAATCCACCCCTTAGCAATGAGATAGTTACCCGCACTTTTTATGCAAAAATGTATTCAATGTGTTACTGATATTAATTTTTTGATTAATTTATTGAATTTCTTTGTTCTTGTCTCTTTTTGACATTTATTTTACATCTTTGATTGTTACTTATGTTTTGTATAAAACCTTTATCATCGTAATCACATCTTGCGTTGTTAATCTTATTACTCTATTTCTCATCCTAGGGTGAACCAGGTGATTTAGCTGTAAACTCGTTGACATTAGATGATCCAAGAAGACTTGGTCCACAAGATCTGCCTGAATTAACTGGAGTCAAGACTGAAAATGCTCAATCCAGATCAAAAGGATCATCTGGAGGCTCCAAGCTAACCGATACATCTGTTGAAACTACTTTAGGTTTCAAAGGCGGAAACGGTGAATCAGTTGGTGTTGTAAACGGGTCAACTGCAAACATTAATGATAGAAAAGGAAATAATGATGAATTTCTCGGCCATGGTAAAAAGGGTGAGTTAATATTAACAACATTCTATAATAGATATACTAATGATGTTATTTTTAAATTGATTAAAATAGGCAGCCAGACAGATTTAACTTCATCAAGCACATCACTTGATATTGGTAGGAAACATTTTCTTCGTTTATTGGAGCCCTTATCAAATTACTCCAAACCGATTGGATCAACTTTAAGACTTAAATGTATATTTGAAAGTAATCCTGGCAAGATTAAAGTTTCTTGGTACAAGAATGAAGCCCCTTTGGAGCCTGATGAACGAATTGAAATCAAACAAAGCAAACCCGCCAAGGAGAAAACTGTCGCCAGACTGAAAATACAGTCAGTTATGTTCCTAGATTCAGGATTTTACAAGTGTGAAGCCAATAATGGAAAGGACACCATGGAAAGTGTAGCTATCGTCAGAGTTGATGGAGGTGAGTTTGTTTACATGTTCGGTACTGTAAAGCCTTGGAATGTTTTAAAGTCATGAAATTTTATCCTTCAACCTGTTTCATTTTTATCTCATCGAATGTGAGATTTTTGAAAGCAAGTATTATGTTTAATATTCTGGCCATGTTTGAAATTAGAATCAAAGCTTCTTCAGGTTTTTCAGTTTTCAAATAAATTGTTATTTGATATTTAAAATAAAAGATCAACAACAAAGATAAGTTTTATTCTTGAATCATATGTCTTTCCAGTTTTCTCAGCATATCGACTTTTTGGTTGCCTGCATTCTTAAGGTTTGTTGACTACAAAAACCAACAAGCTTTTCATAATCTAAACATTTGTAAATATTTTTGCCATTTGCGTAAACTTTGCACTGGTAAATAATTTCATGTAATTTTTCAGCTTTAGATTGATTGATTTCTTTATCTTCCTTTTCTTCTTCCAGATGATATTTCTTCCCACCTCGGGGTCATTCCTACCATTGATGATGAAGTTGTTCCCGAATTTCCACAGTTGAACTCTGAAAGGTAAAACTTCAAATACCAATTCTTTGGTTTACTGATGGTTTCTTTACTATCTTTTCTTATGATTTAGCGGCATTATTCCTGGTTACATTGATAAATTTGACGTCGAAGACAAGGTGAAGACAAATTTCTGTGAACCTTATCGAGGAACTGTTTGTTCACAAGTTATTGGAAATCAAACAATTTATGTTGAAACTGAGGGCAGTCAAGATATATTGGAAGGAAAGATTGTCGGAGTTTTCACTGTTATCAAATCTTCTAGAGACATATCACATCAATGTCATCGATTCGCTATTCCTTCACTTTGTTTGTCTATATTTCCACTTTGTAGTCAAGATCTTCATCATATGCTTCAACATAAACCCAGACAGGTAAGGTTCGAGTATAACCTAACGTTATTCTCAACAATTCATCATCAAGTTTAATCGTAAAACAGAGACAGTTATTGCTTAAAAAACTTGATCATTAGTCAGCTGGAAATAAGAGAAGCAAGTAATGAGGAAAATTGATTAACTTGGAATCCTAATGGCTTTAGGAAAGTCAAGCTAGAGTGTGTCATTTTGAATGAGTATTTAACTTGAACTCCCTTGATTCTAATTAAACGATCGTAAATCGCATTGGGGATATTTTTAACATTGTGTCACGTATCTCATGCATTAAATAGAAGACTGTCAAGAAAAGATGAAATTGATTGTGCAGTGACTTTGAGGGAAACAGAGAAACGTGAAAACAATTTACAACCACAAACAAACTTTTCCGATGAACATCAGTCCTTCTCCATTCAAACATGACTTACTGAAAATTAAACAATTAGTTTCAGATTGAAACCTAAAATTAGTTGCTTTTCTCAGCTAAAATACATATGCATATAGCCCATGATGGACTTAATTACTTTTCCAATTATTCTATTATTGTGTCTTAACTAAAATTTTGTATTTTTCTAATATTGCAGGTTTGCCGAGATGAATGTGAAATGTTGGAACATCAAATATGTCACTTAGAGTATACCATTGCTAAGCGCCATCCCTTAATTGGTCAAGCAAATTTATTGCCTGCTTGTGAAAAATTGGCACCATCAGGCTCGATAGAAAGTGCTGATTGTGTACGATTAGGAGTACCAAATGTTGTCCAAGTCATCCAAGGTATGCTGACTTTATCTATACATCTATATCTGTACATACATAAAATACATAATGTCAAAACATGTAAATTTTGCGTAAAGATTGTGTCCAAACTAAAAGGATTGTATGGAAAATTATTGCACAGCTTGAAAGCCATGATTAAACTAAATCCACGAAAAATAGGCAGGAGATTCTCCAAATTTAGGTTACTGACAAATTAGTGTTTGACAGGGAAAACTGCAGAATCCGTATCTATTACTATTGACTTTGGAGGAAAAACTCTTTTTGATTATTCAGGTTGATAGTTTATAGTTGGATTAGAAGGATATGTAAAATTGTCTTAATAGTAAAGAATCACAGAAACCTACCTACCAGATTTGCCTACCAGAAACGCAAAATAGCTTATTTACACTCTTCGTCTGTCAGCGTAATTCATGATTTCCTTAATATAATAGATTAAATTTAAGCAAAAGTTGCTTTACAATTTTGTTGTAAACGGATTTTGAAAGTTTTGGATCGATATTTGAAATCGCAAGAAAATTGAATTAACCCTATTGATGATGAAACTAATTAAATCACAAAAGTTTAAAAACCCAAAAAAAATTGGACAATCAATTGTTAACCTTTGTTATATCAGCACTTGTCATATATCTAACTCATATACCTTCAGAAATATTACCCTGAAAATAATTTACTATAGATAGACTAAAAGTGTACCTAAATTTGATTTGAGTTCGGACAAAACCTTGGCTTTATATTTTAGTTTAATATTATAACTGTATTAAGACGCATTATTAATCCTTTATTTCATTTGAAATTTACTAATGTCATTAGAATAATTAGAAAAATTACAGTGAACACAACCAATCAACTTGACCATTTTTTCATTATTCGATCAACAGTGAAGTACAAACTAATTTCGATAAATTGTGAAGCGAAATGATGACAATTCCAAGAGTCTCAGATACAGCTTTGTTATCGGCTTTGATAACTAATGGATCTAATTGAGATCTGATTTTCTCGTGTAAAAGATGTGTGGCATGAAAGTGGAAAATTGGACATTTGATAACTAATTTATTGTTTGATTCTCATATACATGTTAAGTTTCTTCAACATTTCTCGATTAATAAAATCAATTAATGAAGTACATCTTTCGGAATAAGGTTTACAAATGCATTTTCAATCAATTTGTCATAAGTAGTTTTTTCCACCCTAGGGAATGGGGGTTTAGTCTTTGTAAAACTTCTCGCGAGGCATTTTAATTCAGCGATGAGTTCCATATGATCGCTCCAACTCTTTGGTTCTGTTTCAAAATCTTTCACTCCGAAATTGTCGCTGACAAAAATGTAATCCAATTGGTTGAATCCACGTGTAGGGGTTTTTTGTTTGCTTGCTGGAGTAAGATTAAATTTTTTCATTATTTCTTTCACATCACGATCATGTGAAGTTGTCGTTCCACGAACGAGAGACCTCAAGTTATGCCTCTCCCCAAGCACTCTTAGATACTGCAGTTACCTGTCTCTCCCTGAAGAGGTAGAAAAAATCATTTAGGCTTCCTCGTTGAGAAATTCGCTTATCACTAGTTATAATTGAATCTCTCCTCCAGGAGAGAGTGGAGTGGAATTTAGAAACCATGGGAAAGAAATTCAGACCACCATTATTGAGTCTGAATCTCTCCTTTGCCGGAGAATTGGTTTCATAAATTATCATTTATGAATGAAAGAAAAAATGTCTCATACAAATAAATCGCTTGCGGAACTTTATGCAACGCTATACACCCTAAGATACGAAGACCTGATCGCAAAAACAAATTTATCATGA